ATACAACGACGTATGGATACGGATGTATCGAGAAATGTCGTTTTTCAATTTCAGCGAAATTGAATTGGCACTTTTAATAATCATGTTTTACCTCCACAATGGTATTAACACACAACGTATATCTATATATATATATATATATATATATATATAATATATTATACGCTGAGCGCATTATTTTTCTTTCGTCCTTCCTGCTCGCAAGAGGAAGAGAGAATACGGTTTCAATGCGTGTTGACTTATGCGGAATCTAAAACCGGTCGAATAAGCTCGCTGTCTTGCGTGACGTGACCGGCCAGGCCAAATACGTGTATTCTCAAGCAATAACATCGCAAATGTGTGTTAATTCCCCAAGAATACGCGTCGCCAACCTGACCTACGAAGAACCTCGTCCGTCGTCTTCTTTCTTGAAGCTCTGTCTCGGGCTGATGGTACTCGATTTGGCGCTGATTTCGTTCATTTCGAAAAGTATATTTACGCAGGTACAAATTTATCGCAAACATTTTCCAACATCAATCCGTGTCTCTGCGCGTAATCCGCTTTTGCGAACCTATCTGAATATATTTTTGATACTTTAGACACCAAAGCGTTCCGCGTAAAAGAATATATAGTAATCTAGGAATTATATGGGGAATTACGGATGTCACAGAAACAAGGATTTAAGCGAACGTGTACGTGAGGTGAGGGCATTGATGCGCGATGAATGCGCGATTAAATAACTCGATGAAATAAATCACGAGGAGGGAAAGAGAGAGAGAGAGAGAGAGAAAGAGCGGATATATAAATATATATCGCGCCGGGCAGATTTTAAGCTCGTGAAGCAAAGTATTACGAGAAGGTCCGGAAGTCGGCAATAATATTCACCTCGTCTGCTTTAGCCGCGTGTTTTAGTATCCATTTTCTCACGGATACTTAAATTTGTCCCATGTGTGGGTGTCGGGCTACGCCGCGGCGATCTTCGAATGTATGCGAGTTCATTCCGCGGGACTTTGTGTGCCGGTACACTCATATTCCATTAGTTTTACGCCCGAGATCCATCGAGGTTTTTATATACTACACGGGAAGAAAAAAAGTATTAGTATAGGTATACCGAAATTCTATCTTAAGACTGCGACGACGCGATAAATCGAACGCCACTATTATATATTTTATTCCATTGAGCTTGGTTATTTGCCATCCGCAAAATGGCCGACCCAAATTTCGCGATCGAATCGAGATATATTATAAAGTGGAGATCGGGAAACTCGCTGTGTCGTCGATAAACGCAGACTTGAGCTGACCTAGAAAAAAAAGTCTGTATACTTTAAGTTATTAAACGTAAGTGTTTCATCTCTGACCAAAGTGAGGAACTAGCGGGTGGTGCACACGATAGTGGAAACGCTGAAAAGAGAAAGAGGAAAGGGTGCTTAGCGGTGAATTCGACGGCGTGGAAACGGTTAACCGCCACGTGAACGGCTGCCATCCGCGTATATAAAGGCAAATATGATTACAGTGTATTTGGTTCGTAAACTATATTAACCTTTGCCTCATCTAAAGGAGGGAAGTAGTTCATTTCCAGAGGAGCTCGGAAATTAGTAGGTGTTGCGCGTAACGGCATTAGAGCGCGATTCGTCAACTCGATTCGGTCTCTCTCTCTCTCTCTCTCTCTCTCTCTCTTTGCAATTCAGACATCTTGCGAAACGGGTTCCATTATAGCTGAACTTATGCGCGAACGCAGATAAATTGAGACAAAATTGCCACGACGATTAATAACTATTTATTCAACATGGAATAAATCCCTTATTGTTCCCTTTATTGGATCCCTTATTGTTGGATTATTCATGGTATTCGGAGAATATCGGCGCAGGTCGGAGGAAATACGCGGTTGACAAATGAAAGTGCAGGCAAGGTAAGCGCAAAGTGAGGACGTTCTATCGATTGGTAGCGCGAGTTCTAGACTTCGAGCGTTAAACGGCTGATCCATGGATGGTTGTTGTGTCGCGGGAGCAAAAACCAGAAATACCTCGACACTCTGGCGGTTTACGGGAAAGCGATCTTAAAGGTGCTCACCCGATTGAATGGAAATAAAACGTGGACACAACTGCCAATACACTTAGGTCGGATTCGCTGTTCTTGTTGGATCCGAGGAGAAGGTGGAGAGGAAGAAGAAGGCGATGCCAGAACTCGGGGGACGGAAACAATTCCGTGATAATAAGATCCGAGTGCCGAAGAGAGTGTGTAAAGTGAAAGGTAGAGAAGGGTGTAATGCTGGGGTGTAATAATTGAGAAGAGAGAGAGAGAGAGAAAGTAAGCATTCCCGCAAATGAGATGTTGCCGCGTAATAATTGTATAAATCGGAAAGGTTAAATTGGGATCACATCTCTCGTATCATATTTCTCGTGCATAATTTATTCTAGATTGAATGGATTTAGCGGATTGAGTTTTACAAATAATTAACTCCGCTAATGATTTTTACTCTTCATTATTGGTCCAATTTTTCCAAATTAGCGGTCAAATAAAGAGAATTTACTGTCGTAAAAAAAAAGTTATTATTTTCATCCGCGTTGGAAATTATTTACGATTCGATCGAGCAGCAGGATGACGTAAAATTTGAGATCTTCCTCTGTATAAGACGCGTGTACAACATGTGCGCAAAAAAAGACGGGTTGAATACTAAGCGAATAAAAGGAAACACATAACGCCCTGTCTCGCATACATAAATGAGCAAAGCGTAACACGTTTTAGCTCGCTGCTTTTTTATCGCAATGTCTCGTACGACATACTAATTACAATATATATACATATACACATGTAAAGTGTAGACACATTGATATTTATGTTAATAATGCAATAGAATATTGTATTATATATATATATATATATATATGAAAAATCATTTAAAAGTTACGCGAATAACAAAGAAATCTGGAAGTAGAAATTAAATAAAATCTATACGCGCGGCTTCAAAAGGCGAAAAGATCGAAGTACCGGTAAAATACCTAGAACGAACAGAGCCAGAAGAAGGGTGCGCGATAGGGGTCGCAGAAAAGGATAAGGAAGGGAGAGGGTTGAAGTAAAGGCAGACGGACGGACTGACGGACGGCGGATCCCCGACAAATGGATTAAGCGCAAATTGCTAAACTCTGTTTAATTTGGCCAAATGAATTTTGTTCCACCGGCCCCCCTTTTCTCTCTCTCTCTCTTCTTTCATCCCTTTGCCCCTTGCATCCTCTCTCATTCCCCCATTCCATGTTCCTCTTACTCTCTTTCTTACTCCTACCAGCTAGATAGACCAAACTTTCGGTCGAAATCTTGTTTCCCGCCAGGTTGCAAGTCGGATTTCGAAACAGACAGACAGACAGACAGACATCTCTCGCCTTTTCGCGACGTTTTCGCATTTAGATGTTTCAAACGACGAAAATGATTTGTGACATATATGTTATATTAACGATTCTGATGGTCAGTTTATCTATCCACAGAAAAAAAGGAATCCTTGATTCGAGTATATTTTTATTCTTGAACGCTATTTGATTGATTTAAGCATATAATGCTCTTTGTAATCACAAATTTTCATTTGCCTTAATAATAAATAAGTTTGTGTAAAGTATATTTTATCCTTAAGATATATTCTTGTTTTAATTTTTACTTTATAACTTTATACCTAATACTTTATAACTAATTTTAATTTTGCACTTTGTTTTAAGGATAAATTATCCTTTATCCAAAATTATTTATATTTGGCGCTATTATAAGGATAAAATATATTTGAATCAAAACATATTTGCATTCTTTCAAGGATACTGTTTTTTCTGTGATTAGATACTTTTATCATCTAATTATAAAATCTATATATTTTGTCATTAAAATTAACTATTAGAAAATTAGAAAAATTAAGATTTTTATACATTAATTACTTTTTATACATTTTTATGTGAAAAATGTAAAAATTCTTTTAGTCGCGTTTTAATTTTTCTTTACCAAAAATGCGACATATTTCATGTGGCTAAATTGTAAGAAAATTTCTGCACTCGTGAGTTTTCCGTCAAGAGAGATGTTTAACTCAAGCACACGTACGTTTCACTTTTTCCGTCGTACAAAAAATATCCGACGAAAATGTGACGCGAGATTACGTTTCCTTAAATTTTTTAACCCTAATCCTCCGAATTATTAAAAAAATTATAATGGATATTTATTAGTGAATATTTCGATTGTAGCTTAACAGGGAATCGCATAATTTTGTACATGAATGTACAACATACATATAAACGTGTAGTATAAATCAGCATCAAAGGCACATTTCATATCGTATAGTGCATACATATATAAGTCATAATCTCTGGCTGTTTAGAGATAATATTATCTCGCAATGCTTGGAGCGACCTCGGAATTAATTTTCGAATATGCACAAATTGGGCGTATCCCGAATTTTCGTTATCAATATTAAAAGTCAACCGAATTATCATGTGCGATAAAAAAAGATAGTGCATATCATTTTTTTTCCTGTAGAAACTTGTGCCATCTGGGTATTAGATATAACCATTGCTCGCTCGATCGTTTATCGATATATCAACTCTAATTGTACTAGTTCCTGCGCAGTATTTGCAACATTGTGACTCATGAATTGGCACGCAGTAAGTGTACATCGTTTAACCGTTCCGAGAATTTCTCATTGACGCTCAAGGTTATTGCGTAATAGCAAAACATCATCATCTGGACACATGGTACATAGATCAGACAATACCAATTTTTCAATCGGAATAAATAATGTTCTTTTATGATATTCGACTCATTTGCATTCGTCGATTATTTAATATTCCAAAATATTTATAATCAACGGGCAAACAAACCCTTTTAACGATATATACTCTTACTTATTGGAAACACATTTCATGTTTAATAAATATATTTTCTTTAAAATGATAAGCGAATATTATAAGTATAAAATATATAGGTAGGAAATGTGGATACTCGATGTAAATTTCTTGCGTAACTTGACGAACGAGTCATTTAGCTGGCAAGTATATCTCGACACGAGCAGTCGTGCGCGAGAATTCCAAGCGGGCAGATCGCTTTGACTCGTCGGAACAATCGCGCTCAACATATTGCATTGGATTATATCCTGAGGGTGTCTCGTATAACCACGAGCACTTGATATTGACACAAACTTTATTTCACGACGGTGATATTTGACTTGATCTCGGGACGAAAGGAACAGTCCCGATTAAGCTAGTCTATTATGGAGTGCTGGACGATAGTCTTATCGATATTAGCCGGCGTGCTCGCCGTTTATTATTATTTCAAGGGGTCCAACGACTTCGAGCGACACGGAATTCCGCATAAAAAGCAGTTTATATTAAGAACGTTTTGGGAGATTTTCATAAACCCGAAAAGTTTCGCCGAAGTAAATCAAAATATATACAATATACATCCCGACGCCAAGTATGTCGGTTTATTTAATTTCTCGCAATTGGTCGTCGCGATACGCGACCTCGATCTGATCAAGACCGTCGGCATCAAAAACTTCGACTCGTTTCAAGACCATTTATTCTTCGGTAGCGACAGTCAAGATCCGCTCTTCGGCAAAAATCTGCTCTCTCTCCGCGGAGAACAATGGCGTGACGTCAGAACGCTCCTGAGTCCCGCTTTTACGTCTAGCAAAATGAAGATGATGTTTCAATTAATGTCCGAGTGCGCCGTGAATTTTTCCGAGTATCTGGCAAAAGTGCCGCCTGAGAAACGCATTATGGAAATGAAGGACATCTTCTCGAGATACACCACCGACGTGATTGCCACGTGCGCCTTCGGCATCAACGTGGATTCGATGAGAAACCCGGACAACGATTTCTTCAAGTTAGGCGGAAAAGCGACGACGTTCGACACGGTAGCTCTAATAAAAATTCTGCTGTACCAACACTTGCCGAGACTCATGAATCTGTTGAATCTTAAGATGGTGGATGAACGTACGAACGCGTTCTTTGTGAATCTGGTAGCTGAAACCATCCGAATCAGGGACGAGAAAAATATTACTCGACCGGACATGCTCCAGCTGATGATGGATAGCAGAGGTAAAAGAGAGGGAAAAGAACTGAGCATTCTGGACATGACATCGCAGGCGTTCATCTTTTTCCTCGGCGGTTTCGACAGTAGCTCGACCTTGATGAGTTTCTTAGCGTATGCGATTGCCGTCAATCCATCTATTCAGGAGAAGTTGCAACAAGAGATTGACAAAGTTCTGGAAGATACGAACGGTCAACCAACCTACGAGGCGGTCAACGGAATGGTGTATTTGAACGCTACGATTAACGAGACTCTTAGAATGTATCCGGTGCAATTGATGACGGACAGAATGTGTACGAAAGACTTTGAGTTGCCTGCCGCATTACCAGATGCGAAACCATATATCGTGAAAGCGGGAACGATCATCTGGATCACGTTTTATGGCCTTCAACACGATCCCAAGTACTTTCCGGAGCCGGAAATTTTCAAGCCTGAAAGATTCCTAGAAAACAAAGGCAATGATAATTTCAATGCTTATTTTCCGTTCGGATTAGGCCCGAGAATGTGCATTGGCAACAGATTCGCGTTACTGGAGACGAAGGTTATGCTGTTTCACCTTCTGGCTCGATGCGACTTGAAACCGAGCGAAAAGACTTCGATACCGTTGAAATTTAAAAAGGGCGGATTCTCGATGCGAGGCGAAGGAGGTATCTGGTTAAGTATTGTACCGAGAGAAAATCAGTATTTTACACAATCGGTTATCGCAAATTAAGAGCGGCAAATAAGATTATAAGGTACTGCGAGTCATTTTATATCATTATTTTATATCATATCAATTATCAATATATACACAATATATTGTAAAACATACAAACTTATCAAAATATAAAATACTAAAAAGTTAATAGAGTTGGAAGATGATGAAATCGAGCGGCGAATCATTATGCAAATCATTTTAGCAATGTCACAGTAGTTTTTATTGGAAAAAGCTTTTTATACGTTTTATCGTTAATGATTAAAGATATATGTGTTCATAAAGATCATCGGAATTCCAACAGGAATTTCAACAGCAATTTCATCTATTAACTAGTCTCTGCTCGACATAAGTACATTACTTTAAATATGATCAAAGTGCAAAAAAACAAAAATAAATTTAAAAATATAAGAGATAATACAATCGGTTTAATGTATTTTATCTCAATTTTATCAGACTATAGTCAGATTAAATTAAAAAAATACTGTTCTGATTTTGCATCAGCGATGACATATGAGAAAAATCATTCCGATGTGATCGTCAGTTCGTTCGTCGGATCTCGACGAGAAAAGTTGCATTCGTATATCGTTTTCGTTATTAATTTGCATAAAGAGAATATATAGACAGTTGCGAGAGTTGATTTCGATTTATATTTAGAACTACGTAATATGTATCATTAGTATACTAGTTTAATAAAATAATTTCTATTTTCAACATGATACACGTAATCGCTTTGACAGTGATAGCGGGCGCTCTGGGCCTCTATTATTATGTCTTACTACTATTATGTCAAGAATATGAACTATTTCAAGAAACATAATAAGAGGCCATTTCCCATATTAGAAAATATGGAAGCAATAATCTTCTGTCGTCAATCAGTAGACCTTGTCAAGGATGCTTACGATTTACATCCCAAGACCAAGTACGTCGACATGTTTGATATGACAAATCCACTTGTAGTGATTCGTGATCCAGAGCTTATTAAATCTATTGGTGAGCGGAAGAAAGAAAATCTCAACTCCGGAGCCTATCTTTCATTTGGACTGGGTCCCAGGATGTGCATTGGTAATAGATTCGTTTTAATGGAGACGAAAATTCTGCTGTTTCATCTATTAGCACGTTGCAATTTAAAAGCAAAAAACACTGTTACCGCTCAAACTTGCTAAATATGGCTTTAATATGAAGCTCGAAGATGGTTTCTGACTGAATGTATCACTAAGAAAAAAATATTCGTCGCACTATTGCTACCAATGTTGTCAATGGAACACGTTAATGAAGAAACATTATATTTAAAAAAATTTTTAATATAATGTTTCTTCAAAATTAAAAAATAAATAACTTTTTAAAATAAAAAATATTTTCTACTGTTTTTTAAATTGTTTCCATTCCTATATTAATTTTAAAAAATCATTTTTTATTTAGTATATTTGTTAACATGTTTGTAGTTTATTTGTTAATTTTATAAACATTTCGCATAAAATATATACATGTATATATATATATATATATATATATATATATATATATATATATATACAAACGCAATATTCAAATATAAAACTTTAGTATTCAAATACATTTTTAAATTATAGAATTTAAATATTATGAATAATATTTAATATTGATAATATGAAATAAAAATTTAAAAAGGTTTCTCGATGCGAGCCGAAAGAAGTATCTAGCATTATGCCGAGAAAAAACCAGCACGCCACACAATCGATTAACACAAATTAAGGGCATCAGATAAAATTGTAAGGTATAGCTGAGTATGACGTAAGTATTCATAGCTATTAAGAATCTATGAAAATAGGACCGCGAATAATTTTTTATATCATTTTATTTTTATATCATAACAATATATACACAATATATGTTATAAATCATATAAACTTATAAAAATAATAAAAAGTTTATAGAGTTGGAAGATGATGAAATCGGGCGGCGAATCATTATGCAAATTATTTTAGCAATGTCATAGTAGTTTTCATTGGAAAAAGTTTTTTATACGTTTTATCGTTAATGATTAATAATATATGTGTTCATAAAGATCGTCGGAATTCCAACAAACACTCTAACAGGTTATTTTGTCTTTCTATTAACTAGTCTCTGATCGACATAAGTACATTACTTTAAATATGATCAAAGTGCAAAAAAAAAACAAAAGCAAATTCAAAAATATTAAAGATAATACAGTGGTGTAATTTTATCTCAATTTCATCAGATTATATTGCCAGTGGCGGAGATACTTCAGATTATATAGAAGTACTGTCCTGACCTTGCGTAAGCGATGACGTCATGAGTAGCCGCATAAAGAGAAAGATCACTCCGATGATAGTCAGTCGCTCGTCGGATCTCGACGAGTAAAGTTGCCTATACCGTCTTCGTTATTAATTTGCATAAGAATATATAGACAGTTGCGATAAAGTGCGAGATTTGATTTCGGTTTATATTCGGAACTACGTAATATGTACTATTAGTATACAAGTTTAATAAAATAATTTCTTTTCTCAACATGGTATACGTAATCGCTTTGACGGTGATAGCGGGCGCCTTAGGCCTTTATTATTATGTCTTTAAGAATTTGGACTATTTTAAGAAACATAATATACCGCATAAGAAGCCACTTCCCATATTAGGAAATATGGGAGCAATAATTTTCCGTCGTCAATCAATAGCTGATCTTGTCAAGGACAGTTACGATGTACATCCCAAGGCCAAGTACGTCGGCATGTTTGATATGACGACTCCACTTGTAGTGATTCGTGATCCAGAGCTTATTAAATCTATCGCATTAAAAAATTTCGACCTATTCACTGATCATCGCACTATGCTCGAGGAACATCAAGATCCATTATTCGGCAAAAATCTTTTTTCTCTCAAAGGAGAAAGATGGCGACAAGTACGGCCCTTACTGAGTCCAGCTTTCACATCCAGCAAGATGAAAAGTATGTTTAAGCTAATGTCAGATTACGCCGGTGAATTTAGCAATTACTTGACGCAATTGCCAGCAGAGAAGAGAGTAGTAATGGATATAAAAGAAGTCTTCACGAAATATACAAGTGACGTAATAGCTACCTGTGCTTTTGGAATTACTGTTGATTCTATGAGAAACCCGAAAAATGAATTCTATGTTATGGGAAAGGAGGCTACCACATTCAGTACTATCGCCTTTTTAAAGATGTATCTATTAAGATATTTGCCTTGGCTCACACAAATATTAAAATAAGACTTTTTCCTGAAAAAATATCGAATTTCTTTCACGAGCTTGTAGAAACCACCATAAAAACTAGGGATGAAAAGGGTATCGTACGTCCGGACATGCTGCAACTTATGATGGATTCCAGAGGCAAGGAGGACAAAGCACAACTATCTATCGAAGATATGGTATCTCAGGCGTTCATTTTCTTTTTTGGCGGCTTCGAGAGCACTTCGACATTAATGTGCTTTCTTGTTCACGAGATCGCGGTGAATGAGAACATACAAAAAAGGCTTCAAAATGAAATCGATCAGGTCTTGGAAGAATCAAATGGACAAGCACCATACGAAATGGTTAATAACATGGAATACTTGGATGCCGTAATCAGCGAAGCTCTAAGAATGTATCCGGTTGCTACAGCAGTGGACAGAGTATGCGTGAAAGAATTTGAGTTGCCTCCGACGTTGCCAGGAATGAAGCCCCTTATTATAAAAAAAGGAGAAGCTTTATGGTTACCGATTTATGGACTTCATCATGATCCGCAGTATTTTGAAGATCCAGAAAAGTTCGATCCTGAACGATTTCTTGGTGAGCGAAAGAAAGAGAGTCTGAACTCTGGAGCTTACCTTCCATTTGGACTGGGTCCCAGGATGTGCATTGGTAACAGATTCGCTCTAATGGAGACGAAAGTTCTGGTGTTTCATCTATTAGCACGTTGCGATTTAAAAGCTTGCGAAAAAACACTGTTACCACTCAAGATTGCTAAAGACGGTTTTAATATGAAGCCCGAAGGTGGTTTCTGGCTGAATTTATCACCAAGAAAAAATATTCATCGCACTATTGCTACCAATGTTGTCAATGAAGCACATTAAATGTAAGAAAATTTTATTAATATATTGTATCCTCAAAATTAAAAAATAAATAACTATAAAATAAAAAATATTTTCTACTAAGTAGTAAAGATTAATGGTATACATGTAAGATCGTCGGAAATAATTTTTTAAATTGTCTCTATTCCGATATTAATTTAAAAAAACATTTTTTATTTAGTATATTTGTTCATTTGTTAATTTTATAAAGATTTCGCATAAAATATGTATATATATATATATATATATATATATATATATATATATAAATGTATACGCAATATTAAAATATAAAACTTTAGTATTCAAGTATATATTTTTGAATTATAGAAATTAAATATTATGAATAATATTTAATATTGATAATATAAAATAAAATTTGTAGATTGTTTTTGGCCAATCGATGTATCGAGAGAAAGTCCTGCATAAGCTGTTACAAACACAAATTACATTTTACAATTGTAAGATCGAAGAACAGTTGCGATGATATTAATATTCAAAGCTACTAACAATAAGATTCTACAAAAATGGAAGACTAGCAAATATTTTACATCATATCAATGCAAATAATACACATACAAACTTATAATAAAATATTAATAAAGATATTTAGTAGAATTAGAATATGACGAGGTCACACAATGATTTTCAAGTCATTATAAGAATGCACAGTAATTTTTATCAAAAAAGTGTTTATACAATCTTAATCGTTAAATATTAATGATATACATGTTTGCAAGATCGTTGGAAATAATTAATCTAACAAGCAACTTCGTAATTTTCTTATTGATAATAAACCTTGTTAATAAACATATATAATAGCAATGTAAAATAAAAAGAAAAAGAAATATAAAATTTAATACAGATTCAAAGATTTTATCTTATTTTTACCAAAATTATATTATAAAATTTATTAACTATGGCCGAGCGACTTTTGCGCAGTACTTCTCGCTATAAATGCGATTAAATTATTGAGATACTTTAACTTCTCTTGCGTAAGCGATGACGTCATGAGTACACACATAATGAGAAAGATCACTCCAATGACAGTCAGTCGCTCGTCGAATCTCGACGAGTAAAGTTGCCTTTGCTATTAATTGCATCAATAGAACAGATATTTGCTATTAAGTGCGAGAGTTGATTTCGATTTATATTCAAAACACTACATAATATATAGACTAATAATCCATAATAGAACAAGTTTAATAAAATAATTTCTTTCTTCAACATGGTATATGTAATCGCATTGACGGTGATAGCGGGCGCTGTAGGTCTCTATTATGTTTTCAAAGATTTGAACTTTTTCAAGAAACATGATATACCGTATAAGACGCCACTTCCCTTGCTAGGAAATACGGGAGCATTATTCTTACGTCGACAATCAGTAATTGACTATGTCATGGGTATTTATAATTTACATCCCGAAGCCAAGTATGTTGGCCTGTTTGATATGACAGATAAACTTATAGTGCTACGCGATCCTGATCTTATTAAATCTATCATGTTGAAAAATTTCGACATATTTATGGATCGTCGCATTTTCGTAGAAGAACATCAAGATCCATTATTCGGCAAAAATCTTTTCTTTCTCAAAGGAGATAAATGGCGGCAAGTACGGTCTTTATTGAGTCCAGCTTTTACGTCCAGCAAGATGAAAAGTATGTTTAAACTGATGTCGGATTACGCTGCTGAATTTAGCAATTACTTGATGCAAATGCCAGTGGAGAAGCGGATAATGGATATAAGAGAAGCCTTCACGAGGTATACTAATGACGTAATAGCTACTTGCGCTTTTGGCGTTAGTGTTGATTCCATGAGAAACCCGAAGAACCAATTTTACGTTTACGGCAAGGAGGCTACCAATTTCGGGATTGCCACTTTTTTGAAGATATATGTGTATCGAGTTCTACCTTGGGTGGCAGAAATATTTAAAATAAGACTTATTTCTCGACACATAGCAGATTTCTTTCGAGACCTCGTAGAAACTACCATAAAAACTAGGGATAAAAATGGTATCGTTCGTCCGGACATGCTGCAACTTATGATGGATTCCAGAGTTAAGGAGGGCAAAGAACTGTCTATTCAAGATATAGTATCTCAAGCGTTCCTCTTCTTCCTTGGCGGCTTCGATGGCACTTCGATGTTAATGTGCTTCGTCGCTCACGAGATCGCGGTAAATCAGGAAGTACAAAAGAAACTTCAAAGTGAAATCAATCAAGTTTTGGAAGAGTCAAATGGACAAGCACCATATGAAATAGTTAATAACATGGAATACTTGGATGCTGTGATCAGCGAGACTCTTAGAATGTATCCGGTAGCTCCATTTATGGATAGAGTATGCATGAAAGAATTTGAGTTGCCTCCGACATTACCAGGACTGAAACCCTATACTATAAAAAAAGGACAAGCCGTATGGATACCGATTTATGGATTTCATCATGATCCGCGTTATTTTGAAGAGCCGGAAAAATTCGATCCCGAACGATTCCTTGGTGAGCGGAAGAAAGAAAGCCTCAACTCCGGTGCTTATCTTCCATTTGGGCTGGGTCCTAGGATGTGCATTGGTAATAGATTCGCTTTAATGGAAACGAAAATTCTGCTGTTTCATCTATTAGCACGTTGCGATTTGGAAGTTTGCGCAAAAACACAGATACCGCTTAAAATCGGTAAAGATGGTTTTAATATGAGACCCGAAGGCGGCTTCTGGTTAAATATATTACCAAGAAAAAATATTCATCACACTGTTTCTACCAATGCTAGAACAAAATGACAGAACAGAAAAATGAATTGAATGAATTTTTTAATATATTGTTTCTTCTTATTTTGTTAATCGTACACTCGGGCTATATTAATTTAAAAAAAATAGTTTTTTATTTGTTACTTTTATAAAGTTATCGCATAAAATATATATATTCAATCTTAAGATATTAAAATTTATTATTTAAGTATATTTTTAAATGAAAATTAATTATTATGAAACTTTACTATATCGTAAATCTTTTTTTTGGCTAATCGATGTAAAAATGAAAAAATTCTTCACAAGCTTGTAAAAACAATTATGTGCTAAAATTATAAGATAATCACAAGATAAGAACAGTTATGCGGATATTAATATTTAAAGCTATTATGATTCTACGGAAATGGAAGATTAAAAGAAATGGAAAAAGTATTTTACCAAGTGTATATTATATCAATACAAATTTTATATTATATCAATACATTATACCTATTGAGGCTGCGCAACGATTCTGCAAATCATTTTAACAATTTCACAGTAATTTTCATCAGAAAAAATGTCTCTTACACGTCTCGTTGTAAAATTAATGGTACATGTTCGCAAGATCGTCGAAAATAATTAATTTAATAGATAATCTCGTCATCTTTCTATTAATTTTTGCTAGTAGATTTGGCGTCAGTGTTGATTCTTTGAGAAATCCAAAGAATGAATTTTACATTAATAGTAGGGAGGCCACCACTTTATACAGTATTTCTTTTCTGAAATTATGTGTATATAAAAAGCTTGCCTTGGCTGGCAAAAATTCTTAAATTAAGAATGATTCGCGAACAGATAGAAGTTTTCTTTCGAAATCTTATAGAAACCACCATAAAAGCAAGAGATGAGAATGGTATCGTTCTTTTGGACATGCTGACACTGATGATGGAATCTAGAGGTAAAGAAGGCAAAGAATTATCTATTGAAGATATAGTATCTCAAGCGTTCCTTTTTTTCTTTGGTGGCTTCGAAAGCACTTCGACGTTAATGTGTTTCGCCGTTCACGAAATCGCGGTGAATCCGGAAATACACAAAAAGCTTCAGCATGAAATCGATCAGGTCTTGGAAGAATCAAATGGACAAGCTCCGTATGAAATGGTTAATAATATGAAATACTTGGATGCCATCATCAGCAAAGCTCTCAGAAAATATCCGGTCGCTCAAATAATGGACAGAGTATGCGTGAAAGAATTTGAGTTTTCTCCGACATTGTTAGGAACGAAGCCCTTTACTATAAAAAAAGGAGAAGCTATATGGATACCAGTTTGCGGACTTCATCATGATCCACAATACTATAAAGAGCCGGAAATGTTCGATCCCGAACGATTTCTTGGTGAGCGGAAAAAAAAGTCTGAACTCCGGAGTCTATCTTCCATTCTAGGTCCTAGTATGTGTATTGGAAACAGATTTGCGTTAATGGAAACGAAAGTTTTGCTGTTTCATTTATTGACACGTTGCGATCTGAAAACTTGCAAGAAAACACCGTTATCGCTAAAAATCGCTAAAGGCAGTTTAAATATGCAGCCCGAAGGTGCTTCTGACTGAATGTCTCACCTAGGAAAACTATTCATCATACGATTGCTATCAATGCTGTCAATGAAAAACATCAGCTGTAAGAAAATTTAATTAATATATGTTTTTTTAATTATATCTTAAATATATAGAAATGAAAAATTTTTTCAATATTAGAAAACGTTTCCTGCTATTTTGTTTGTTTGTATTTATTGCAATGTTAGAAAAAATTCATTTTTTATTTTTTATTATTTATTTAAGTTTCATACAAAATATATGGCAGTCTTAAGGGATATATTCAAAAAATTAATTAATTTAATTATATTTTTGATATTACGTATAATTTAATAATGATATATAAATATATATACAAATATTAGTAATAGTAACGTATGAAATTATAATTATAATAAATTAGTCCTTTAGAATATCTCAAGTTTTAAAAATAGTCACTATATTCTTCAAAAATATAAATTTAGAGAGATTTAATTTTGATATAGAATTATTAAATAAAATAATTTTATCACGTATAAAAAATAAAAAGATCCTAAATGTTGGATGTAGTTGTATACATACTTGTTTAGTATTAACTTTATTTAAATATTAATAAATATTTTATAAATATTAAATTTCAGATAAAATAAAGAGAGGAAATAATAAAAAATCCAAAGAAATATAAAGAGTATTTCTTTCTCGATTTTGAAATAAGAAGATTTGCTTCTTAAGATGTCATATGCAAATTCATAATAGCGGAAACAATTATCTAAATTGTTTTAAAATCTTCGATTTTACCCCAAATACATTTCAGAGCCAAATTCAAGCCTGAGAAATTTCTGGATATAAAAACAGAAGGAAAATGTGTCATCTTAGTACTTATTATTCGTATTGGCTAGAAACTGTTTATCGGTAAGAGATTTGCGTTTCTGGAGACGAAGGTTTTGCTCGGTTCATCTGCTAAATCGTTGAGTTTGTGCGAAAAGATTCTGATAACGTTAAAATAAAATAAAGTATTCCCTATGTAAGCCAAAAGAGTTTTCGAGTATGTCAATTCTAAAATAATCAAAGAGAGAGCACTATTTATTCCAATATTTAAAGTTATTAAGAATCTATGAAAATGGAAGATCATGAACATTATTTTGTCATATTAATATAAACAATACGATATACATACATATCTAAATTTATAAAAATAATAAAGAAGTACAGTTGAAAGATAACGAGATGTTGCGCGGCGATTATGCAAATCATTTTAGTGATGTCACAGTAGGTTTGTCCAATAAAGGCTTCTATTTGTTCTACCGTTAATAAATAATAATATATATATAATAACATATGTGTTTAAGATGCTTGAAAATAATCAATCTGACAAGTAATCTCATCTTTTCATCAATAAGCTGTTGATTATAATGTTAATCACATTACACATCAGATACAACAAGGAAAATATATTTAAAAATATAAAAGATAACACAGTGAGTATATATTTTATATTTATTAAATTATATTGATAGTAGCTGAGCTCCTTTGCGCAGTACTTTTTGCAACAATTAAGACTGAATTATATATAGATTAGATATTGTCCAACCGAAGATCAATTTCTTGCTCGAAGTCGAAGCCGAAGCAGAAGCCGAAGCAGAAGCCGCAGCAGAGGGTGCGGCCAGACTATATAGATACTATTATTAACTTTGCTGCATGAACGATGACATCATGCAAACGTATAAGAATGATAATTCCAATGTGACCGTCAGTCGGTCGTCGAGTCTCGACGAGTTAAGTTGTATCAGTATACAAGTACGAGAGTTGATTTAGGTGTTATCAAAACACGTAATACATGTATAATATAGTTTAATAAAATCATTTCTTGTTTCAATATGATATATGTAATTGTTTTGACGGTGATAGCAGCTACTCTCTATCTTTATTTCTTGAAGAATTCGAATTGTTTTAAAAAACATGGCATACCGTATAAAACACCATTTCCCATGTTTGGAAATATGGGATCATCGATCTTCGGTCTTGAATCGTTTATTGATTTAATCAAGAAAATTTACAATTTACATCCTGAGGCTAAGTACGTCGGTATGTTTGATTTGGCCGGACCAATTACAGTACTCCGTGATCCAGATCTTATTAAATCTATCTTGTTAAAAAATTTCGACTTATTCCCGGATCATCGCACCATGATCGAGGAACATCAAGATCCGTTATTCGGCAAAAATCTTTTTGCCCTAAAAGGAGAAAGATGGCGGCAAGTACGGCCTTTACTGAGTCCAGCTTTCACGTCCAGTAAGATGAAAAGTATGTTTAAATTGATGTCGGATTATGCCACCGAATTTAGTAATTACTTGACACAAATGTCAGTAGAAAAAAGAATAATGGATACAAAGGATATCTTTACGAGATATACAAATGATGTTATAGCTACTTGCGCTTTTGGTATCAGTGTCGATTCTATGAGAAATCAGAAGAATGAATTTTATCTTTCTGGCAAGGAAGGAACCACTTTCAATAGTATTACTTTTCTGAAAATATTTGTATATAGAAGCTTGCCTTGGCTGGCAAAAATTTTTAAATTGAGACTGTTGCGCCCACAGATAGCAGATTATTTTCGAAATCTTATAGAAACCACCATAAAAATTAGGGACGAAAAGGGTATCGTACGTCCGGACATGCTGCAACTTATGATGGATTCCAGAGGTACGGAGGACAAAGGACTGTCTGCAGAAGATATGTTATGTCAAGCGTTAATTTTTTTCTTTGGCGGCTTCGAAAGCACTTCGAATTTAATGTGTTTCGCTGCTCACGAAATCGCGGTGAATCAGGAAATACAAAAAAAACTTCAACATGAAATCGATCAGGTCTTGGAAGAATCAAATGGAGAAGCACCATACGAAATGGTTAATAACATGGAATATTTGGATGCCGTAATTAACGAAGCTCTCAGAATGTATCCGGTTACTCCATTTACGGACAGAGTATGCGTGAAGGAATTTGAATTGCCTCCGACATTGCCAGGAATAAAGCCCTTTACTATAAAAAAAGGAGAAGCTGTATGGATACCGGTTTACGGACTTCATCATGATCCACAATATTTTGAAGAGCCGGAAAAGTTCGATCCCGAACGTTTTCTTGGCGAGCGAAAGAAAAAGATTCTGAATTCCGGAGCCTATCTTCCATTTGGACTTGGTCCCAGGATGTGCATTGGTAATAGATTCGCTTTAATGGAGACAAAAGTTTTGCTATTTCATTTATTGGCACGTTGCGATTTGGAAGTTTGCGCAAAAACACAGATACCGATCAAGATCGCTAAAAAATTTAATATGCAACCCGAAGGTGGTTTCTGGCTGAATGTGTCACCAAGGAAAACTATTCATCATACTGTTGCTACTAAGGCTGTCAATGAAACACGTTTGTAAGAAAATTTAATTAATATATATTAATTATATTTTAAAAATATAAAATAAATGCTATTTTATTTTGTATTTGTTGCGATATTAGAAGTAAATCATTTATTTTTATTACATTTTTTATGAGTTTCGTTTAAAATATACGGCAACGTTAAGATATGTATATATAATATTTAAAATATTAATTTATTTATATTTTTAATATTATGTATAATTTAGTATTCATATTAGTATTAATAAATAAAAAAAATTAGTTGTAGAAATATCTCAGATTTTAACAATAATCTCTGATATTTTAAAAATATATATGTATAATCTTAAACGGAGATTTAATATTGCTGCAATATTATGAAGTAAAATAATTTTAATATATATAAGAATAAAAATCTAGAAGTATTTTACACACACTGTTAATATTATTTAAATTTCAGATAAAGTAAACAGAGAGGAAACAATAAAATCCGACGGAAAGAATTTTTTGTGATTTTAAAATAAGAAGATATGTTTCCTCAGATGACATATGCAAATTCATATCTCATAAACGTGATAATCTAGATCCTGTTTTATAGCCTTCAATTTAATTCCAAGGAGTCTTCTGGAGCTAGAGAAATTCAAGCCTGAGAGATTCGTGGATGAAAACAGAAGAAAAAAGTGTAATCTTAATGATTATTATTCATATAGATTAGGCTAGAGAATGCATCGGCAACAAATTTGCATTGCTGGAGACAAAAGTTTTGCTCGATTCATCTGCTGAATTGAGTACGTGCGAAGATTTTGATGGAGTTAAAACAAGAATAAAGCATATATTCTCTATGCAAATCGAAGGAGTTTTCAAGTAGACAAGTTGTAAAATAATTGAAGGGTAACATTATTTCAAAAACTATTATATAAGTATCTGAAAATGAGAAATGAATATATTTTGTTTTTATTAATTAATATAGACAATAAATTATATATCCTAATTTATAAAAATAAAATGAAGTAAAAAATAAAAATGAGAGATGAATATATTTTGTTTTTATTAATTAATATAGACAATAAATTATATATATCCTAATTTATAAAAATAAAAAAAGTAGTACAGTTAAAAGATAATAAAACGTCGCGCGGCGATTATGCAAATCATTTGAGTGATACCTGATATCAGTAGGATTAGTCACAAAAAAGTCTTCTATTCATTGCAGCGTTAATAATTAATAAAAGCGTGTTTAAGATCGTCGAAAATAGTAATCTATTAACTAATCTAATCAAATGCTGTTTGTTGTTACGTAAATCAAGTGACACATCATGAATGTGCAAAAAGGAAATATATTTAAACATACAAAAGATAATACAATCAATTTAATATATTTTATCTAATTTTATAAAATTATAACAGCTGAACTCTTTTGCGTAGTGATTTTTGATACAAACAAAAGAATAAATTATATATCAGATTGTTAAAGTCCAAACGAATAGGTTAATTTTTTGCCTGAAGACAAAGAAGAACATCGATTTCTTTGTTACCTTCAGATCAAGGACAGTAGATAGTGATGTCATTGACTTTCGTTGCTTAAGCGATGACTTATGTAAACATATATAGATATTAGAGAGAGATAATTTCGCGAACCGCCAGTCGATCGTCGAGTCTCAACCAGTCAAGTTGCGTTAGTATATCCGTGAAAAAGTTGATTTCAGTTTTAGCTAGAATATTTAATATATGTACTAGTTTAATATACTAGCTTAAAAGCAAAATCATTTCTTGTTTCAATATGATATATGTAATTGCTTTGACAGTGATAGTAGGCGCTCTAGGCCTCTATTTTTATTTCTTGAAGAATTCGAATTGTTTCAAAAAACATGGCATACCGTATAAAACACCATTTCCTGTATTTGGAAATATAGGCCTATCGATGCTCGGTCGTGAATCATTTGTTGATTTAATCAAGAAAATTTACAATTTACATCCTGAGGCTAAATATGTCGGCATGTTTGATTTGGTCGGGCCACTTACAGTGCTCCGTGATCCCAATCTTATTAAATCAATCGGGTTGAAAAATTTCGATTTATTCCCGGATCATCGCACCATGGTCGAGGAACATCAAGAACCACTATTTGCCAAAAATCTTTTTCTCCTCAAAGGAGAAAAATGGCGACAAGTACGGCCTTTACTGAGTCCAGCTTTTACGTCTAGCAAGATGAAAAATATGTTTAAATTGATGTCGGATTACGCCGTTGAATTTAACAATTACTTGACACAAATGCCAGCAGAGAAGAGGATAATGGATATGAAGGATGTCTTTATGAGATATACAAGTGATGTTATAGCTACTTGCGGCTTTGGCGTCAGTGTTAATTCTGTGAAAAATCCGAAGAACGAATTTTACGTTTATGGTAGGGAGGCAACCAATTTCACCGCTATTTCCTTTCTAAAAATATACGTATATAAAAGCATGCCTTGGCTAGCAAAATTTCTTAAATTAAGAATGATTCGTGAACAGATTGCCATTTTTTTTCACAATCTTGTAGAAAAAACTATAAAGACTAGAGACGAAAATGGTATCGTTCGTCCAGACGTGTTGCAACTAATGATGGAATCTAGAGTTAAGGAAGGCAAAGAACTATCTGTTGAAGACATGGTATCTCAAGTGTTCATTTTTTTCTTTGCCGGCTTTGATAGTACTTCGACGTTAATGTGTTTCGCCGCTCACGAAATCGCAGTGAATCAAGAAATACAAAAAAAACTTCAATATGAAATTGATCAGGTCTTGGAAGAATCAAATGGAGAAGCACCATACGAAATGGTTAATAATATGGAATATTTGGATGCCGTCATCAGTGAAGCTCTCAGAATGTATCCAGTTACTGCAGCAATGGACAGAGTATGCGTGAAGGAATTTGAATTGCCTCCGACATTGCCAGGAATGAAGCCCTTTACTATAAAAAAAGGAGAAGCTGTATGGATACCGGTTTACGGACTTCATCATGATCCACGATATTATAAAGAGCCGGAAAGATTCGATCCCGAACGATTTCTTGGTGAGCGAAAAAAAGAGATTCTGAACTCCGGAGCCTATCTTCCCTTCGGGCTGGGTCCTAGAATGTGCATTGGTAATCGATTCGCTTTAATGGAGACAAAAGTTCTTTTATTTCATTTATTAGCACGTAATGATTTGAAAACTTGCGAAAAAACATCGTTACCGCTCAGGATCGCTAAGGGTAGTTTCAATATGCAGCCTGAAGGTGGTTTCTGGCTAAATGTATCACCAAGGAAAACTATTCATCATACTATTGCTACTAATACTGCCAGTGGAAAATATCAGCCGTAAGAAAAATTCATTAATATATTTTTAATTATATTTTAAAAATATAAAAATGAATAATATTTTAATATTAATTTGTAATATTACATTAAAAATTTTTCTGATAAGTTGGCTTGTTAGTAAAACATGGAATACCGTAAAATTTTTTTGTTTTATTATTTTTTTAAATAAATTACATTCAAATCATGTGTGGCAACCTTAAAATATATATTTAATTTTAAAAAGATTAATTTATTTAATTATATTTTTGATATTATGTACAATATTTAATACTTATATTATATTAATGTCAATAATATGTAAAATAAATGAGTCCCTTAAAAGTATCTCATTTCCAAAATAGTTGCTAATACTTTTTGACATACATATGTATGTATATAGTCTTAGAAAGATTTAATTTTGATACATATAAAAAGGTCTTAGTAACTCTATACACTATTTTTATTTATTTAAATTTCAGTTAAAATAAAGAGAGGGAACAACATATTTAAAGGAGTGTAAAGGACATTTCTTTTTTTATTTTGAAATAAGAACATATCTGTATTCTGGAGATGGTTTCGATACTTTATTTGCTGCATCATTGAGAGAGTTCGTGCGAAGACTTTTAAAAATTAAAAAAAAGCTGTTCTAGGCAAATCGATAAGAAAGATTTAAATATGCCAGTTGTAAAATAAATGAAAGGTAATATTTATTCCAATATTTAAAGCTATTAAGACTCTAAAAAAGACACCACAAACATATTGTCATATTAATATAGACACACAATACATTATGTACATACATATAAACTTGTGAAAATAATAAAGAAGTATAATTTAAAAAATAACGAGGCATTGTGTGATTATACAAATCATTCAAGTAATGTATAGTAGGTTTGGTCATAAAAAAATCTTCTATTCGTTGCATCGTTAATAATTAATAATAATGTGTTTAAGATCGTCGAAAATAGTCAATCTATTAAGTAATCTAATCAATTGATTAACTGTTTGTTATATTATAAATCAAGTTATACATCATAAATATGCAAAAAGGAAATATATTTAAAAATATAAAAGATAACACAACCAATTTAATATATATTTTATATTATTTTATTAAATTATACATTAGATACTGGTTAGAATCCGATCGTAGGTCAATTGTTCGACGGAAGACGAAGTCGAAACAGAAGGCGCAGTCGGTTTATAGATACTGTCATTAACGTTCGTTGCGTAAACGATGATATCATGCGCACGTACAAATGATTTCAATGCAACCGTCAGTCGATCGTCGAGTCTCGACGAGTCAAGTTGCCTTAGTGTGCAAGTGCAAGAGTTGATTCCGCTTTTAACTAGAATACGTAATATACGTATACTTGTTTGATAAAGTCATTTTTTGTTTCAATATGATATACGTAATCGCTTTAACGATGATAGCGGGCGCTCTAGGCTACTATTTTATTATTTCAAGACTTTAAATTCTTTCAAAAAACATGGAATACCGTATAAAACACCATTTCCTATGTTCGGAAATTTAGGATCATCAGTCTTCGGTTTTGAATCGTTTGTTAATATAATCAAGAAAATTTACAATTTACATCCTGAGGCTAAGTACGTCGGTATGTTTGATATGGCCGGGCCAGTCACCTTAATCCGTGATCCCGATCTTATTAAATCTATCGTGTTGAAAAATTTCGACCTATTCATGGATCGTCGCACTATCCTTGAGGAACATCAAGATCTATTATTCGGTAACAATCTTTTTGCTCTAAAAGGAGAAAGATGGCGACAAGTACGAACTTTATTGAGTCCAGCTTTCACATCCAGCAAGATGAAAAGTATGTTTAAATTGATGTCAGATTACGCTGCTGAATTTAGCATTTACTTGACGCAAATGCCAGTAGAGAAGAGAATAATGGATATAAAAGATGCCTTTGGGAGATATACAACTGATGTTATAGCTACCTGCGCCTTTGGCGTCAGTGTTGATTCCATGAGATATCCGAAGAACGAATTTTACATTTATGGCAAGGAGGCAACCACTTTCAACATTATTTTCTTTCTGAAAATATATGTACATCAAAACTTGCCTTGGTTGGCAAAAATTCTTAAATTAAAAGTGATTCGCGAACAGGTAACAGATTTTTTTCGAAATCTCGTAGAAACCACCATAAAAACTAGAGACGAGAATAGTATCGTTCGTCCGGATATGCTGCAACTCATGATGGAATCTAGAGGTAAGGAAGGCAAAGAACTGTCTGTTGAAGATATGGTATCTCAAGCGTTCCTTTTCTTCTTTGGCGGTTTTGATAGCACTTCGACATTAATGTGTTTTGCTGCTCACGAAATCGCGGTAAATCCGGAAATACATAAAAAACTTCAAAATGAGATCGATCGGGTCTTGGAAGAGTCAAATGGACAAGCACCATATGAAATGGTTATTAACATGGAATACTTGGATGCTGTGATCAGCGAAGCTCTCAGAATGTATCCGGTTGCTCCAGCAGCGGAGAGAGTATGTGGAAAAGAATTTGAGTTGCCTCCGACATTGCCAGGAATGAAGCCCTTTATTATAAACAAAAATGTAGGTATATGGATACCGATTTATGGACTTCATCATGATCCGCAGTACTTTGAAGAGCCAGAAAAGTTCGATCCTGAACGATTTCTTAGTGAGCGAAAAAAACAGAGTCTGAACTCTGGAGCTTATCTTCCCTTTGGACTAGGTCCTAGGATGTGCATTGGTAATCGATTCGCTTTAATGGAAACCAAAGTTTTGCTGTTTCATTTATTGGCACGTTGCGATTTAAAAATTTGCGAAAAAACATCGTTATCGCTCAGGATCGCGAAGGGTAGTTTCAATATGCAACCCGAAGGTGGCTTCTGGCTGAATGTATCACCAAGAAAAATTATTCACCACACTATCGCAACCAATGCTGTTAGTGGAACACATCATTTGTAAGAAAGCTTTATTGATATATTTTTCTAATTATATCTTCAAATTATAAAAATAATTTTTCAGTATAAAAATTTCTTTGCTGTTTTGTTAATCGGTCACTATGAGGATAATCACGTTTTAGAAATTATTTTTGTTACTTTGTAAAAATTTCAACATAAAATATATATACAATATCTTAAGAAGAAAATATAGTATTGAAGTATATTTTAGTATTGTGAAAACAAAATATTATATATAATTTATAAATAATTGTAATTTAATAATAATAATATAATAATGAAAACTATAAAATTATAAAATAGTTCATCAGATATGTTAGATTTTTAAAACAATCGTTAATGTTTTTACAATTTATATAACTTTAAATAGATTTGAAATGATATAATAAGATAAAATAATTTTAATTAATATAAACCAATCACAATGTTTTTTAAAATGTACCTATCTTTAATTTTATTTAAATTTCAGATAAAATAAAAAACCACAAAACCAGGAGGAATGTAAAGGACATTTCTTTCTTGATTTTGAAATAAGAAGACTTATTGCTTTTTCACGTGCAAAACAATATTTTGTGAAGGCGGAAATGATAATTTTGTTACTGTTTTATAGGCTTTACAATCAATACGCTCTCACTTTCTTCAAATGAAGAAATTCCATATATTAAATATTATTCACAATCTATGAAAATAAAAGATCACGAAGCTATTTTATATCATATAAAAGACACTATGTTATATACAAATAAACTTGTAAAAATATTAAAAATGTTTAATAAAGTTAGAAAATAATGAGGTCAGCCGATGAATATGCAAATCATTTTAGCAATGTTACAAAATCATTAAAAAAGTTATTTATTCTTACTCCATCGTTAATGATATACACATATGTATTCAAAATTACTGGAAATAATTAATCTAGCAGGTAATCTCGTCATCTTTTACAACTTACTACTTGTTGATTGACATAAATCATATTGGAACGTAACAATTTGCAAAACAGACATATATTTAAAAATGTAAAAGATAATATACAGATTAACATATTTTATTTAAATTTTACTAAATTATGTTAACAGCAGCGAAGCCATTAATTCTTGTAACAATGAGATTAAATTGTACAGACACTATCGTTCAATTCTATTGCATAAGCGATGATATAATGCAAACATGTACATGAAAGAAATCATTCCGATGTAATCAGTTGACCTCGGCGTAAAGTCACCGGATACTATATACTATTAATTACATAAAAGAAAAAGTTATTTGCGATAAAGTACAACAATTGATTTCAATTTATATTCTGAATATACATAATATATGTTTATTAGTTTAAAGTAATTTCTTATCAACATAGTATACGCAATTGCTTTGTGAAATCGACGTTCTAGAGTTCTATTGTTATTTCTATTATTACTAAAAGATTTAAATTCTTTCAAAAAACATAGCATACTTCAATAAGACGCCGCCTCCCATATTCGGAAATATGGGATTATCAATCCTGCTCGTGAATCAGTTTATAAGGTAAGTCAAAAGTATGTTTTAATTTGTGAGCCTGTTTGTGGATAAAAAAGAAGAACAAATGTTCATAAGAACATATAATCATTATTTGATATTGCTGATTTACGTCCATTATTTCGATGACGAAACATTTGCAACCATATGTTCATATATGAAAATTTCTTATTCTTTTTTATCTAAAAACACGTTCACAAATTTTTAAAACATACATTTGACTTATACACTGGTCAAAAAAGTTATCGCAACACGTAATTAATATCAAAATTTCGCATAAATTTAAATAAGCGTATCTCCGCGAAAAATCATCGTAATTGAACAAATTTTTTTTTGTTTTAAAGGATAAAGTCTCTATTTTAAGAAACTTTCGTTCGAATTTGATTTTATCTTTTCCCCCTCTCTCCATCTCTTTAAAAAATAAGGCGTTTTTTTTTTCAAAAAATTGCAAAATTTGACGAACTCTACAGAGTGAAATAAATTTTTTTCGCAAATCTTATCCAAATTTTCGTAAAATATGGATTTTTTCCTACAAATTAAAAAAAAAGCAAAGTTCGTACGATTTTTTTTTTGGCAGAGTTACAGCATATCAAATTTATCTATGCATTTTTGTGCAATTATTACCAATATTAGCGATACCCGACGCGCATCAACGATGGTTGCGCGACAAATTGCTAATGAAGATCTCCCTCACAGACTCAGTGATCAAACAATTAGAAGACATTTACGTGGTTTAAGATCGCGAGTTCAACATTTTTTTTTCCAAATGTATGGATCATACATTTTTTTCATACATTAGAAGAGGAAAATGTCGAACTTGCAATCTTAAACCACGTTCACGTAAACGTCTTCTAATTATGTAATCACTGATTCTGTGAGGGAGATCTTCATTAGCAATTTGTCGTGCAATCATCGTTGGTGCGCGTCTGGTATCGCTAATGGTGATAATAGTTGTACAAAAATGCATAGATAAATTTGATATGCTGTAACTCTGCCAAAAAAAATCGTACAAACTTTGCTTTTTTTTTTAATTTGTAGAAAAAAGTCCATATTTTACGAAAATTTGGATAAGATTTGCAAAAAAATTTATTTCACTCCGTAGAGTTCGTCAAATTTTGCAATTTAAAAAAAAAACACCTTACTTTTTAAAGAGGTGGAAAGAGAGGGAGAAGATAAAATCAAAATCGAACGAAAGTTTCTTAAAATAGAGACTTCATCCTTTTTTTTTTCAAAACGATGATTTTTCGCGGAGATACGCTTATTTAAATTTATGCGAAATTTTGATATTAATTACGTGTTGCGATAACTTTTTTGACCAGTGTATATTATCTCAATTTTATCAAATTATACAATCAAGAGACACGGTAGTGTCTCGCGACAAGTCACCAAATCGTAGCGAGGTATTTCCGTGTATCTTTACGCGAGTCGGACTTTTGACAGCATCTTTTATTATCAGATCTTATACAAGGATTGAACTGATCGTATTCTCGATAGACTTAATCGATAGCTTGGGTTTAATTTGTATTAGAAAACTGTCTTTACTTTTGCTCTACGTATTATATATACAGAGATATTACGAAGTAATAAAGTTTGACTTTATAATAAAATTGAAAATTTTGGTATTCGTCGTCGACCTTCTCAATGTGCATGTGTGTGAAAATGTACTGTTCGAGCAGTCAACGCTAGATTATATTAATGTCGCTCCATGATCCATGATGTTAGGTTGTGTGTCAGATTTGATGACATGTAACATGTATGTAGGTTACATTATTCCCTACAATGTCATGTTACATATTAGTTGTAATTAAACGACCAAGAGAAAAATAAATTTGGCTGATAAATTCAGAAAAGAATACTTTTATAGAGGGAGGGGGGAGAGAGAGAGAGAGAGAGAGAGAGAGAGAGAAAGAGAGAAAAAGGTCTAATGTGTATATTATTGATATATATATATATATATATATATATGTATATACTAATGTGTATATTGATATATAATTACATTTATTATAATATAATTTCTTTTATAATATATAATTATTTATTTATTATAATATAATTACATTTATTTATATAGCTGCTAACCTAACTGCTATGTATCTCTCTCTCTCTCTCTCTCTCTCTCTCTCTCTCTCTCTCTCTCTCTCTCTCTCTCTTTATCTATCTATTTATCTATCTATAACTTGTGTTACTCCAGGATATAAATGTATGTATGATAGAGAGAGAAGGGAGAGATAAATATATACTACAAAAAAGAATGATATCCATAAAAAAAGATATTATTGTCAATCATAAATCGTTCGTCCCATTTGATCTTTTTATATAATTTGCTGCGTTACAATATATGAGTCATATGTTTAATTAATTGTTGTTTGTGAAATATTTCTATAAAAAAAATTGTTTAATAAAATAATTATAATAAAAGATTTTATAGTATAAATGTTTTTATTTGTCGTAATTTTTGATATCATTATTTTTTTTTAGAAATATTTAATTATTTTGTACAATAAAAATATATTGTATAAAATTCAAATGACATTATTTTTTAGAGCAGTTTTTTATAGTAATTTAAAAACACTGTTTTTTTGTATAACACTTTTCACATGAGCACGTAAAAACTTGTTGCCTTTTTTTACCTTTTTAAAAATATACTTAAATCAAGAATTACTTTATTCTGTGAATATATAAAATCTTTTGCGTCAAAGTTTTATAAAAAAATGTTACATATATGCATATTACAAATGTTATATATGCATATATGCATATTACAATCATCGCGTAATTACTAATTGATTTATTAGCATTTTACTATAAACTTGTCGCCTTTTTTTACCTTTTTTTAAAAAAGATAAGTTTTTTATGGATATATAATTGACAGCGGCTAAAGCTCTTTTGCATATTATTAAACTAATTGAGATTAAATTATCGAAATGTTAAGGTTAACTTGCGTAAGCGATGCAAATGTTTAACTATAAAAGAAAGATAACCGAATGTGACCATTAGTCGACCATCGAATCTAGACGCACAAAGTAACTTTCGCAAACCATCCTTGCGTTATTAATTGTATAATAAAAAAAGTTACTTGGAATAAAGTGCAATAATTAATTTAAATTTAATCCTGAAAATATATAATATATGTGAATACTAGTTTCATAAAGTAATTTCTTTTTTCAAGCATTATGTACGAAATAGTCTTGACGGTGATACTAAATGCTCTAAGTCTTTATTATTATTTCTTCAAGAATTCAAATTCTTTCAAGCAACATGGCATACCGCATCACAGGCCACTTCCAATATTCGGAAATATGGGACCAACGATCTTCCGTCGTCAGTCGATATACGATCTTGTAAAAAATACTTATAATTTACATCCTGAGGCCAAGTATGTCGGCATATTCGATATTACCGGACCGCTAATAGTACTCCGCGATCCCGATCTTATTAAATCGATCACGCTGAAAAATTTCGACCTGTTCCCGGACCGTCGTACTCTCGTCGCGGAACATCAAGAGCCATTATGCGGTAAAAATATTTTTGAACTTAAAGGAAAAAGATGGCGGCAAGTACGTCATTTGCTGAGTCCAGCTTTTTCGTCCAGTAAGATGAAAAGTATGTTTAAACTAATGTCGGATTACGCCGCCGACTTTAGCAATTATTTGACGCAATTGCCAGCAGAGAAGAAGATAGTGGATATAAAGGACGCCTTTACGAGATACACAAGTGACGTAATAGCTACTTGTGCTTTTGGTATTGCTGTTGATTCTATGAGAAATCCGAATAATGAATTTTACGTTTACGGCAGAGAAGCGACAAATTTCAATGGTGTTGTTTTTATAAAAATGTATATATATAGAACCTTGCCTTGGTTGGCAAAAATTTTAAAATTAAGAATTGTTCGTGAACAAATTGCAAATTTCTATCGAGATCTCGTAGAAACCACAATAAAAACCAGAGATGAGAATGGTATCGTTCGTCCGGACATGCTACAACTGATGATGGAATCTAGAGGTAAGGAGGGTCAAGAACTATCTATTGAAGATATGGTGTCCCAAGCGTTTGGTTTTTTCTTTGGTGGCTTTGAGAGCACTTCGACATTAATGTGCTTCCTTGCTCACGAGATCGCACTGAATCCGGAAATACAAAAAAGACTACAAAATGAGATCGATGAAATCTTGGAAGAATCAAATGGACAAGCACAGTACGAGATAGTTAATAATATGGAATATTTGGATGCCGTGATCAACGAAGCTCTCAGAAAGTATCCGGCAGCTGCAGTAATGGACAGAGTATGTGTGAAAGAATTTGAGTTACCTCCGGCATTGCCAGGAATGAAGCCCTTTACCATAAAAAAAGGTGAAGCTATATGTATACCGTTTTATGGACTTCATCGTGATCCGCAATATTTTGAAGAGCCGGAAAAGTTCGATCCCGAACGGTTTCTTGGTGAACGAAAGAAAGAGACTCTTAACTCCGGAGCTTATCTTCCTTTCGGATTAGGTCCGAGAATGTGCATTGGTAATAGATTTGCTTTAATGGAGACAAAAGTCTTGCTGTTTTATCTATTGGCAAGATGTGATTTAAAAACTTGCAAAAAAACATCTTTATCACTCAAATTTGTTAAAGATGGCCTCATTATGAGGCCCGAAGACGGCTTCTGGCTGAATGTGTCACCAAGAAAAAATACTTATCACACGATTGCTACCGATATTGTCAATGGAACGCGTTAAATGTAAAAAAATTTAATTAATATAATTTTATTTATTACTTAAGAACATAAAAATAAACAATTTTTCATTATAAAAATTTCTTTGTTGTTTTGTTATCGATCACTAGGGCAATAATTTTTTTAAAAATATTTTTATTTGTTATTAATAATATCAAAATATATTATAAATTATTTGTAGTTCAATGAAGGTTCCTATCCCGACTATCCCGAAAAAATTAAATAGGTTAATTGTATTGTCGAACTTTGATATTATTGTGCTTTTAAACGTTTGACTTTAATTGATTTACTTGTCTCCGTTAACATTAGTAATTTTACTGCTGTCGAATTAACATCTAGATAGGTACATTACATTTTTGTATATTATTTTTAATTTTCTTTGTTAACAACTTTGTAATTTATTGTTTCATATCCTAATCATTGTATATTTTATTGTGCAGTTACACTTGAAAAGGACCCGTATCTAAGGGTCGAAACGTAGTGTTTCTAATTAAATTGTACTGGCCAGATGGGTCGAAATTTCAATAAATTTGTATTATTACGACACTTGCGGTAACATTATCGAAATACCATGGTTGTCTAATCTTGGGTAAACGATATCATACATGAATAAAAAAGTAACTCCGTTCAAATTCCATGATTGTCTAATCTTGGGTGAACAATATCATACATAAATAAGAAGATAACTCCGTTGTAACTGGCAGTCGACTCTCAAATCTCGTCGCGGAAAGTTACTTCCGCATATTACTATCGTTATATAATAAATTTTTTTTCAACATGGCATACGTAATCATTTTGACAGTGATCGTTGGCGCTCTGGGCCTTTATTATTATTTCTTTGAAAATTTGATTTATTTCAAGAAACATGGTGTACCGCATAAAATACCACTTCCTATATTAGGAAATATGGGACCAACGATCTTTCGTCGTCAGTCGATATACGATCTTGTAAAAAATACTTATAATTTACATCCTGAGGCCAAGTATGTCGGCGTATTCGATATTACCGGACCGCTAATAGTACTCCGCGATCCCGATCTTATTAAATCGATCACGCTGAAAAATTTCGACCTGTTCCCGGACCGTCGTACTCTCGTCGCGGAACATCAAGAGCCATTATGCGGTAAAAATATTTTTGAACTTAAAGGAGAAAGATGGCGGCAAGTACGTCATTTGCTGAGTCCAGCTTTTACGTCCAGTAAGATGAAAAGTATGTTTAAACTAATGTCGGATTACGCCGCCGACTTTAGCAATTATTTGACGCAATTGCCAGCAGAGAAGAAGATAGTGGATATAAAGGACGCCTTTACGAGATACACAAGTGACGTAATAGCTACTTGTGCTTTTGGTATTGCTGTTGATTCTATGAGAAATCCGAATAATAAATTTTACGTTTACGGCAGAGAAGCGACAAATTTCAATGGTGTTGTTTTTATAAAAATGTATATATATAGAACCTTGCCTTGGTTGGCAAAAATTTTAAAATTAAGAATTGTTCGTGAACAAATTGCAAATTTCTATCGCGATCTCGTAGAAACCACAATAAAAACCAGAGATGAGAATGGTATCGTTCGTCCGGACATGCTACAATTGATGATGGAATCTAGAGGTAAGGAGGGTCAAGAACTATCTATTGAAGATATGGTGTCCCAGGCGTTTGGTTTCTTCTTTGGTGGCTTTGAGAGCACTTCGACATTAATGTGCTTTCTTGCTCACGAGATCGCAGTGAATCCGGAAATACAAAAAAGACTACAAAATGAGATCGATGAAATCTTGGAAGAATCAAATGGACAAGCACAGTACGAGATAGTTAATAATATGGAATATTTGGATGCCGTGATCAACGAAGCTCTCAGAAAGTATCCGGCAGCTGCAGTAATGGACAGAGTATGTGTGAAAGAATTTGAGTTACCTCCGGCATTGCCAGGAATGAAGCCCTTTACCATAAAAAAAGGTGAAGCTATATGTATACCGTTTTATGGACTTCATCGTGATCCGCAATATTTTAAAGAGCCGGAAAAGTTCGATCCCGAACGGTTTCTTGGTGAACGAAAGAAAGAGACTCTTAACTCCGGAGCTTATCTTCCTTTTGGATTAGGTCCGAGAATGTGCATTGGTAATAGATTTGCTTTAATGGAGACAAAAATTTTGCTGTTTTATCTATTGGCAAGATGTGATTTAAAAACTTGCGAAAAAACATCTTTATCACTCAAATTTGTTAAAGATGGCCTCATTATGAGGCCCGAAGGCGGCTTCTGGCTGAATGTGTCACCAAGAAAAAATACTTATCACACGATTGCTACCGATATTGTCAATGGAACGGGTTAAATGTAAGAAAATTTAATTAATATATTTTCAATTCTTACTTAAGGACATAAAAATAAACAATTTTTCATTATAAAAATTTCTTTGTTGTTTTGTCAATCGATCACTATGGCAATAATTTTTAAAAAAATATTTTTATTTGTTATTGGAAATATCAAAATATATTATAAATTATTTATAAATAATTACAATTTAATATTAATAATTTGATAATGATAACTACATCTCTATAAAATAGTCCTACAGATATTCTAGATTTTATACAAATTTAATGGTACAAAATATAATAAAATATTATCTTAATTAATATAAACTAATAATAATTTTAGAAAATGTATATATCTTCTATTTTATTTAAATTTCAGATAAAATAGAAAATAACAAAAAACTAAGAGGAATGTGAAGGATATTTCTATCTTGATTTTGAAATAAAAAGACTTGTTGCTTCACATGTCACATGCAAAACAATATTTTGTGAAGGCGACAACGATAATTTGGTTCCTGTTTTATAGACTTCAGTACACTTTCACTTTCTGGAAACGGAGAAATTTCATATATTCAATGTTATTAACAATCTGCAATAATAGAATATCACAAAACTATTTTATATCATATATTATGCAAATCAATTTAGCAATGTCACAATAGATCTAATGATACAAAAGTCTTCCATTTTTGTTTCATCGTCGCATGATTAATGATAAAGACATTTATGTTCAAAATCATTAGAAATAATTAATATAACATATAATCTAGTTATCTTTCTACTTATTACTTGTTGAGTGACATTTTGAATCGCCAGCAATTTGTAAAACACAAATATATATTTAAAAATGTAAAAGATAATAAAGTCATGTTAACACATTTATCTAAATTTTGTTAAATTATGTTGACAGTAGCGAAGCCAATAATTCTTGCTACAATGAGATTGTAAATTGTAGTGATACTACCGTTCACTTCTATTACATAAGCTCATAAGCGATGATATCATGCAAATATATAGATATATAAAAGAGAGCATTCCGACGTGAGCGTCAGTCAACCGTCGAATCTCGACGCGTAAAGATACCTTTGCTCACTATCTTTGCTATTAATTGCACAAAAGGAAAAGTGATTTGCGATATAGTGCGACAATATATTTTAATTGATATTCTGAATAAACATATACATAAGTTTAAAGTATTTTTTTATATCAACATGGTATATGTAATTGCTTTGACAGTGATAGCGGGCGTTCTAGGGTTCTATTATTATTTTTTTAAAGATTTAAATATTTACAAAAGACATGGTATACCTCATAAAACGGCACTTCCCATAATAGGGAATATGGGAGCAACAATTTTTCGTCGCATATCGATGCCTGATCATATCAAGAATACTTATAATTTACATCCTGATGCAAAGTACGTCGGCATGTTTGATTTGTTAAATCCAGTTGTAATGCTTCGCGATCCTGATCTTATTAAATCTATCGCGCTAAAAAATTTCGATTTATTCCCGGATCACCGCACTTTAATCGAGGAGCATCAAGATCCATTATTCGGCAGAAATCTTTTTTTCCTCAAAGGACAAAGATGGAGACAAGTCCGGCCTTTACTGAGTCCAGCTTTCACGTCGAGCAAGATGAAAAATATGTTTAAATTGATGTCGGATTACGCCGCCGAATTTAGTAACTACTTGACACAATTGCCAGCAGACAAGAAGATAATGGATATAAAAAACGCCTTTACAAGATACACAAATGACGTAATAGCTACTTGTGCTTTTGGCATTAATGTTGATTCAATGAAAAACCCAAATAACGAATTCTATATTTACGGCAAAGAGGCTACTACTTTCGGTGGTATCCTCTTTATGAAGCTATGCATATTTAGAAGCTTACCTTGGTTGGCCGAAATTCTTAAATTAAGACTTATTAGAGAAGAAATAGAAAATTTCTTTAAAAATCTCGTAGAAACTACAATAAAAACCAGAGATGAGAATGGTATCGTTCGCCCGGACATGCTGCAACTCATGATGGAATCTAGAGATAAAGATGGCAAGGGACTGCCTATTGAAGATATGGTGTCCCAGGCATTTGGTTTCTTCTTTGGCGGCTTCGACAGCACTTCGACATTAATGTGTTTTGCTGCTCACGAAATCGCGGTGAATCAAGAAATACACAAAAAGCTTCAGCATGAAATCGATCAGGTCTTGGAAGAATCAAATGGAGAAGCACCGTACGAAATGGTCAATAACATGGAATACTTGGATGCCGTGATCAGCGAAGCTCTCAGAAGATATCCTGTTGCTATGCTAATGGATAGAGTATGCGTGAAAGAATTTGAGTTACCCCCGACATTGCCAGGAATGAAGCCCTTTACTATAAAGAAAGGAGGAGCTGTATGGATACCGATTTATGGACTTCATCATGATCCGCAGTATTTTAAAGAGCCGGAAAAGTTTGATCCCGAACGATTTCTTGGTGAACGTAAGAAAGAGACTCTTAACTCCGGAGCTTATCTTCCATTTGGACTAGGTCCTAGGATGTGCATGGGTAACAGATTCGCTTTAATGGAGACAAAAGTTCTACTGTTTCATTTACTGGCACGTTGCAATTTGGAAATTTGCGAAAAAACACCGTTACCGCTCATTCTTGCTAAAGATGGCTTTAATATGAAGCCCGAAGGCGGCTTCTGGCTGAATGTATTACCGAGGAAAAATGTTCATCGCACTGTTGCTACCAATGCTGTCAATAAGAGACGTCAGCAGTAAGAAAATATTATTAATATATATTTTTTTTATTACTTAAGAACATAAAAGTAAATAATTTTTCAGTATAAAAATTTCTTTGCTGTTTTGTTAAGCGATCACTATAGCAATAATAAGTTTTTAAAAATTATTTTTATTTGTTATTTTTTAAAGTTTTAACATAATATATATATATATATATATATATATATATATATATATATATGAAATCTTAAGATAATAATTTAGTATTCAAGTATATTTTTGTATAATGGAAATATCAAAACATATTATAAATTATTTATGAATAATTACAATTTAATATTAATAATTTAATAATGAAAACTACAACTCTACAAAATAGTCCTACAGATATTTTAGATTTTAGATAAATTTAATAATGATACAAAATAAAATGAAATATAATCTTAATACCATATAAACCAATATAAATTTTAGAAAATGTACCTATCTTCAATTTTATTTAAATTTCAGATAAAATAGAAAACAACAAAAAACTAAGAAGAATGTAAAGGATATTTCTATTTTGATTGAAATAAGAAGACTTGTTGCTTCACATGTCACATGCAAAACAATATTTTGTGAATGCGACAACGATAATTTGATTTCTGTTTTATAGATTTCAGTACGCTTTCACTTTCTGAAAACAAAGAAATTTTATATATTCAATGTTATTAATAATCTGCAATAATAAAATATCATGCACAAAACTATTTTATATCATATTAAACAATATATTATGCAAATCAATTTAGCAATGTCACAATAGATCTAATGATAAAAAAGTCTTTCATTTTTGTTTCATCGTCGCATGATTAATGATGAACACATTTATGTTCAAAATCATTAGAAATAATTAATACAACATATAATCTCGTCATATTTCTACTTATTACTTGTTGATTGACATAAATAACATTTTGAAACGTCAGCAATTTGTAAAACACAAATATATATTTAAAAATGTAAAAGATAATAAAGTCATGTTAACACATTTATCTAAATTTTGTTAAATTATGTTGACAGTAGCAAAGCCAATAATTCTTGCTACAATGAGATTGTAAATTGTAGAGATACTACCGTTCACTTCTATTACATAAGCTCATAAGCGATGATAGCATGCAAATATATAGGTATATAAAAGAGAGCATTCCGACGAGAGCGTCAGTCAACCGTCGAATCTCGACTCGTAAACTTACCTTCGCTCACTATCTTCGCTACCAATTGCATAAAAGAAAAAAGTTATTTGCAACAAAGTGTGAATTATTCAGAAATTCTGAGTAAACATAATAATATGTATACAAGTTTAAAGTAATTTTTTTATATCAACATGATATATGTAATTGCTTTGACAGTGATAGTGGGAGTTTTAGGGTTCTATTATTACTTTCTCAAGGATTTAAATTTTTCAAGAAACATGGTATACCGCATAAGAGGCCACTTCCTATATTAGGAAATATGGGAACAGTAACTTTCCGTCGTCAATCAATGGCTGATCTTGTTAAGAATGTTTACGATTCCCATCCCAAGGCTAAGTACGTCGGCATGTTTGATATGACAAATCCACTCATAGTGATTCGTGATCCAGATCTTATTAAATCTATCACATTGAAAAATTTCGACCTATTCCCGGATCATCGCACTATGATTGAGGAGCATCAAGATCCATTATTCGGCAGAAATCTTTTTTTTCTCAAAGGAGATAGATGGAAGCAAGTCCGGCCTTTACTGAGTCCAGCTTTCACGTCGAGCAAGATGAAAAATATGTTTAAATTGATGTCGGATTACGCCGCCGAATTTAGTAACTACTTGACACAATTGCCAGCAGACAAGAAGATAATGGATATAAAAAACGCATTTACTAGATATACAAATGACGTAATAGCTACTTGTGCTTTTGGCATTAATGTTGATTCAATGAAAAACCCAAATAACGAATTCTATATTTACGGCAAAGAGGCTACTAATTTTGGTAGTATCTTCCTTATAAAGCTATACATATTCAGATTCTTACCTTGGTTGGCAGAAATTCTTAAATTAAGACTTATTAGAGAAGAAATAGAAAATTTCTTTAAAAATCTCGTAGAAACTACAATAAAAACCAGGGATGAGAATAATATCGTTCGCCCGGATATGCTGCAACTCATGATGGAATCTAGAGGTAAGGAAGGTAAGGAACTGCCAATTGAAGATATGATGTCCCAGGCATTCAGTTTCTTCTTTGGCGGCTTCGATAGCACTTCGACGATAATGTGTTTCGCCGCTCACGAAATCGCGGTGAATCAGGTAATACACAAAAATCTTCAATATGAAATCGATCAGGTCTTGGAAGAATCAAATGGAGAAGCGCCATACGAAATGGTTAATAACATGGAATACTTGGATGCCGTGATCAGCGAAACTCTCAGAAGATATCCAATTGGTGTGGCAATGGACAGAGTTTGCGTGAAAGAATTTGAGTTACCTCCGACATTGCCTGGAATGAAACCCTTTACTATAAAGAAAGGAGGAGCTGTATGGATACCAGTTTATGGACTTCATCATGATCCGCAGTATTTTAAAGAGCCGGAAAAGTTCGATCCCGAACGATTTCTTGGCGAGCGAAAGAAACAGAGTCTGAACTCTGGAGCTTATCTTCCCTTCGGACTAGGTCCTAGGATGTGCATCGGTAACAGATTCGCTTTATTGGAGACGAAAGTTCTGCTGTTTCATCTATTAGCACGTTGCAATTTAGAAACTTGCGAAAAAACGCCGTTACCGCTCAAGATTGCTAAAGATGGCTTTAATATGAAGCCCGAAGGCGGCTTTTGGCTGAATGTATTACCGAGGAAAAATGTTCATCGCACTGTTGCTACCAATGTTGTCAATGAGAGACGTCAGCAGTAAGAAAATATTATTAATTTTTAATACATTTAATATATATTATGAGTATATTTTAATTGCATCTTGAAAATTGAAAAATAAATAATTTTTTAATATAAGAATTTATTTTCTGCTGTTTTGTTACTCGGTAAATATTTCCGATATTAATTTAAAAAAAATTTATTCTTCTTTTGTTACTAAAAATTTGCTTAGAAAATATATGCTACCCTATGTAAAGATATATTTAAAATCCAAGTAATAAAAATAATCTTAAAGATATGAGAATAAAAAGATTTTAAATGTACATTTGCACCTATATTATCAATATTATTTAAATTTTAGATAAACTAAACAAGAAACAACAAAATAAAAGAAGAAATATGAAAAACATCTGAATTACATTTTATAACTTTCAATACAATGCCACGTACATTCTGAAAATAGAGAAAATCAAAACTGAAAAATTCCTTGGATGAAAAGAGAAAGAATGAGTATTACCTCAATGCTTATTAGCTATTCGAATTAAACATACGTATCGTATGAAAAATAAAAAATAACAGAGGAAGTTTAATATACAGGGTGAGTCAAAAGTACGTTTTAAAAATTTGTGAGCATGTTTTCTTGGATAAAAAAGAATAACAAATCTTCAAATGAACATATAATCACAAATGCTTTGTTATCAAAATAATGGACGTAAATCAGCAATATCAAATAATAATTTATTTGAACGTTTACAGTTTTATTGTTGTTCTTTGATTGATGATTGACGATTTTGAATGCATGTCTGAACACAAATTCTACATAACTGACACATTTGTTTGAAAAAAAAGAGAAATGTGATGGGGCTTCATTGTATAGACACAAATCAATTTGTTTACAAACAAACGTTACCACGATCCAATAAAAGAAAGGAAAAGAAAGTTGTTAAATAAATTTCTGTACTCTTTTTTTATTTCTTATAAAGAACGACAACAACTGTAAACGTTTAAGTAAATCATTATTTGATTTATATCCATAATTTTGAGAATAAAGAATTTCCGACCATGTTTATGTAAACATTTGTTATTCTTTCTTACCCAAGAACAAACTCACATGTTTTTAAAACATACATTTGACTCACTTTGTATATTAATTTAATCTTATCAAACTCATGTTTGTCAAATTATATTTTATCAAACTGTTGACAGTGGTGAAAGCTTTTTTGCGCTATTAATACAACTAAGATTAAGTTATCAAAGTGTTAGGGTTAACTTGCGTAAGTGATGCAAATATTTATAAGAGAAAGATCACTCGGATGCAACCATCAGTCGACGATCGAATCTCGATGCGCAAAATTACTTTCGCACACCATTCTTGTTATTAATTGTACAACAAAAAAATTATTTGTAATAAAGTGCAAAAATTAGTTTAAATTTAATCCTATGAATATACATAATATATATAAAGTATCATAAAGTGCTTTCAAAATGGTATATATAATCGCTTTGATAGTGATATTAAGTGCTCTAGGCCTTTATTATTACTATTTTAAGAAATTAGATTCTTTCAAAAAATGCGGCATACCATATAAAACACCACTTCCAATATTAGGAAATATGGGACCAATGATTTTCCGCCGTCAATCGATAGTTGAACTTGTAAAAAATACTTATGATTTACATCCTGAAGCAAAGTATGTCGCTATGTTCGATATTACCGGGCCGCTCATAGTACTCCGCGATCCCGATCTTATAAAATCTATCGCACTGAAAAATTTCGACCTGTTCCCGAATCGTCGCACTCTTATCAAGGCACATCAAGATCCATTATTCGGTAATAATCTTTTTGAACTTAAAGATGAAAAATGGCGGCAAGTACGAACTTTACTGACTCCAGCTTTCACGTCCAGTAAAATGAAAAATATGTTTAAATTAATATCGAATTATGCCGCCGAATTTAGCAATTACTTGATGCAAATACCAGCAAAGAAGAGGGTAATGGATACAAAAAACGTCTTCACGAGGTACACAAATGATGTTATAGCTACTTGCGCCTTTGGCGTCAGTGTTGATTCTATGAGAAATCCAGAGAACAAATTCTACGTTTACGGCAAAGAGGCAACCAATTTGAATAGTGTCGTCTTTATCAAAACGTATATATATATAGAATCTTGCCTTGGTTGGCAAAAATTCTTAAAATAAGAATTGTTCGTGAACAAATTGCAAATTTCTTTCGAGATCTTGTAGAAACTACCATAAAAACCAGGGATAAGAATGGTATCGTTTGTCCGGACATGCTGCAATTGATGATGGAATCTAGAGGTAAGGAGGGAAAAGAACTGTCTATTGAAGATATGGTAGCCCAAGCATTTGTTTTCTTCTTCGGTGGTTTCGAGGCAACTTCGGCGTTAATGTGCTTCGTTGCGCACGAGCTCGCAGTGAACCAGGAAATACAAGAAAAGCTTCAAAAAGAGATTGGAAGAGTCAAATGGACAATCATCATATGAAATGGTTAATAATATGGAATATTTGGATGCCGTGATCAACGAAGCTCTTAAAATGTATCCGCCAGGTGCAGCAATGGATAGAGTATGTGTGAAAGAAGTTGAATTGCCTCCGACACTACCAGGAACTAAGCCTTTTACTATAAAAAAAGGAGATTCTATATGGTTACCGTTTTATGGACTTCATCATGATCCACAGTATTTTGAAGAACCGGAAAAGTTCGATCCTGAACGATTTCTTGGTGAGCGGAAAAAAAAGACTCTGAATTCCGGAGCTTATCTTCCATTTGGACTGGGTCCCAGGATGTGCATTGGTAATAGATTCGCTTTAACGGAGACGAAAGTTTTGCTGTTTCATTTATTGGCACGTTGTGACCTAAAAACTTGCGAAAAAACGCCGATACCACTCAAATTTGCTAAAGATTCGGGCTTTGTTATATTGCCCGAAGGCGGCTTTTGGTTGAATGTATCACCAAGAAAAAATATCAGTCACACTATTGCTATTGATGGAACACGGCAGATGTAAAAAAACTTCTTTAATATAATTTTAATTTTATTTTGAAAATTCACAAAAGACTTAGTTTTCAGTATAAAAAATATTTTCTGCTGTTTTGTTCACTGATAACTATTACAATGTTTATATAAATAAAATCATTTTCTATTTGTTTTATTACTTTTAACAAGTGTTATACAAAATATATGATATGCAATCTTAAGTTATATTCAGTATTTAAAAAATATTTTATATATTTTGATGTTATAAATAAATTAATATTAATACTATATTAATATTATATAAAATAAAATAATCTCTTATTGTTAAAAAATATTTTAAATATTTGTAATAGTTGCTAATTTTCTTAATATTTAATCTTATAAATATTTAATATTTGTTATAAGATAAAAGTAATTTTATTAGATATAAAAATAAAGAGACTCTAAATGTAAAACTGTATATCTGTAGTACCAATATTATTCAAATTTCAGATAAAGCAGAACAGAAAATAAGAAAACCTAAAGAAATATGAAAAACGCATGTCTTCCTTGTAATATAAAATAAGAAAACTTGTTGCTGCAATAACAGATGCCTCGTGGAAAATCATATCTTTTTAATGCGGGAACGATAATCTGAATTCTGTTTTATAGCCTTTAATACGATGCTACATATTTCCGAGACAAAAAATTCAAATCTGAGATTTCTTAGATAAAAACAGAAGGAATTAGTGTAATTTCTATGCTTAGTAGCCATTCGGATTAAACTTGAAAATGTGCATCAGTAACAGATTTGATTTTTCGAAGACAAAAGTTATGCTACCTTATCTACTGTATCATTGAGACTTGAAACGGTTTGAAAAAATTCAAATATTAAAATAAAATAAAAGAGGACATAAAATAAAAAGAGGACGGATTCTCAATACGTCGTTAAGGAAGTTTTAGCGGTTTACTAATTGTAAGAAAAAATTCTACATGCCTAATCATAATTAAGTGCTTCAATTATCAGATAACCGAAGGACAGCTGTGAAAATAAAAAAATTGGAAGACAAAATTATTTTATATTATATAAATGTAGACATATTATATACATTAATAAAGATGTTTAGTAGAGTCGGAAAATAGCAATGTCGCGCGGCGATAATGCAAATTATTGTAACAAGGCCTATAACGTTGATTTATGATTTAAATGAAAGTCTTTTATTCGTTTAATTGTTAATGATTAATGCTATATTCAAAATCGCAGACAATAAATATACATGGGAAAATGAAACTAACAGGCAACTTCATAATTTTTTTAATGACTACTTATTACTCGACATTAATCACGTCAAACATTAGCAATATGTAAAAAAAAAGCAAAAACATAAAAGATTAAAAAATATAAAAGATATCAAAGTCGTATACAAAGTACAATATATATTATTCCAATTTTGTAAAATTATATTGATAGCGGTGAAGCCGTTTTTGCTCATTATTACGACACTTGCGGTAACATTATCGTAATACCATGGTTACCTAATCTTGCGTAAACGATATCATATATAAATAAGAAGATAACTCCGTTGCAACTGTCAGTCGACTCTCAAATTTCGTCGCGGAAAGTTACTTTCGCATATTACTATCGTTATATAATAAATTTTTTTTCAACATGGTATACGTAATCATTTTGACGGCGATCGTTGGCGCTCTAGGCCTTTATTATTATTTCTTTAAAAATTTGATTTATTTCAAGAAACATGGTGTACCGTATAAAACACCACTTCCTATATTAGGGAATATGGGACCATCGATCTTTCGTCTTCAATCGATAGCTGACCTTGTGAAGAATACTTATGATTTACATCCTGAAGCCAAATATGTCGGCCTGTTTGATATGATAGGACCGCTCATAGTAATCCGCGACCGCGATCTTATTAAATCTATCGTCCTGAAAAATTTTGACCTGTTCCCGGATCGTCGCACTTTTATCGAGGCACATCAAGATCCATTATTCGGCAAAAATCTTTTCGCTCTTAAAGAAGAAAGATGGCGGCAAGAACGCCCTTTATTGACTCCAGCTTTTACGTCCAGTAAGATGAAAAGTATGTTCAAACTGATGTCCGAATACGGCGCTGAATTTAGCAATAATTTGACACAATTGCCGGCAGAGAAGAGGAAAGTCATGGATATAAAAGATGCCTTTACAAGGTACACAAATGACGTAATAGCTACTTGTGCTTTTGGCATTACTGTTGATTCTATGAGAAACCCAAAGAACGAATTCTATGTTTACGGCAAGGAGGCGACCAATTTCAACAATGTTGCCTTCATAAAGATGTATATGTATAGAATCTTACCTTGGTTGGCACAAATTCTTAAATTAAGAATTGTCCGTGAACAAATTGCAAATTTTTTTCAAGATCTCGTAGAAACAACCATAAAAATTAGGGATGAGAAAGGTATCGTTCGTCCAGACATGTTGCAACTGATGATGGAATCTAGAGGTAAAGAGGGCAAAGAACTATCTACTGAAGATATGGTATGCCAGGCGTTCCTTTTCTTCTTTGGCGGCTTCGATACCACTTCGACGTTAATGTGTTTCGCCGCTCACGAAATCGCGGTCAATATGGAAATACAAAAAAAACTTCAAAATGAGATGGATCAGGTCTTGGAAGAGTCCAATGGACAAGCACCATATGAAATGGTTAATAATATGGAATATTTGGATGCTGTGATCAATGAAGCTCTCAGAAGATATCCGATCGCTTCATCATTGGAGAGAGTTTGCATGAAAGAATTTGAGTTGCCCCCTACATTGCCAGGAAGAAAGCCTATTACTATAAAAAAGGGAGATACCATATGGATACCAGTTTATGGACTTCATCATGATCCACAGTACTTTGAAGAACCGGAAAAATTCGATCCCGAACGATTTCTTGGTGAGCGGAAGAAAGAGAGTCTGAACTCTGGAGCTTACCTTCCATTTGGACTAGGTCCCAGGATGTGCATTGGTAATAGATTTGCTTTAATGGAGACGAAAGTTTTGCTGTTTCATCTATTGGCACGCTGCGATTTGAAAACTTGTGAAAAAACACCGTCACCACTCAAACTTGCTAATGACGGTTTCAATATGAGACCTGAAGGCGGCTTCTGGCTAAATGTATCACCGAGGGAAAATATTAATCACACTGTTACTGTCAATAAGACATGTCAGATGTAAGAAAGCTTCATTAATACATTTTTAATTGTATCTTACTAGTGAATCAGTTTTTGAAATAAAATATTTCCTATTATTTTGTTTATTGAGAACTATGGTAATGTTAATATAAATGTTAATATAAATGATTATTTCATAATCGCTCGCTTCGCACTCTTCTTTGATATTATCTTTAAATCTAATTATTTAATTAAAATTATTTTTTTATAATACAATATTGCACGTGGAAACTGTACTTGCAGCGACAAATTTTCCTATTTTCAACTCAAAGAAGACACGATCCAGCATCTCTTATATGTTTTCTCGTTTTTTGTTATTTTCTGTTTAGTTTTAGCTAAAATTTAAATAATATTGATATTATATATACACACAGATTAACACCTACGAGCTTTTTATCTTTAAATCCAATTATATATTAAAATTATTTTTTTATAATATTGATACTAAATATCTCAAAGATAACATATATTTGAAGAATATTAGTGATTACTTTAAGATATTTTTAAGACTATTTCAATACGTATAATATTAATATTGAATTATTCATATCAACATTATATTCAAAATTAATTTTCTATTGTTTATTTTACAGCTGTGAAATTGTTAAATTGTAAAATTTGCTGAATATCTATTAATCTTTTGTGATCAAATATCTACACTTTCATTAGACTCGCGCGAAACTCTACACCCCATATACCTATTACGTTGCGCGGTTCGCGCGGGACTGATTCTCCTGCGAGGTAACGCGAGCGCGGGACCGATGGTCACGACCAGTCACGTGACCTCTGATCATGTGACTACTGGTCATGTGACCATCGATCCCGCGCTCGTGGTACCTCGCACGAGAATCAGTCCCGCGCGAAGCGCGCAGCGTAATGGATGTATGGGGTTTAGTCTTGCGCGAGTCTAATAAAAGCGTAGATATTTGTCACAAAAGATTCTTATAGAAAATTTTATTTCTTTGTTCGTATTTTCTGTTAAAAATTTAAATATTGAATTTTTATGCATTGCATAATTAATTAATATATTTTTATGCATTGATTTCAATAATGATTTTTGCATGCATGTGTCGCAATTTTTGATATTTAATTATCAAAGAATAATATAACTTCGCTTTGCGTGCATAATTATATTCGATTAGATTAAACGAAATAATATATATATATATATATATATATATATATATATATATGCTGCATAAAAATATTTATATAAGCAGATTTGTTAATACAGTACAAGTAACAATAATTGTGTCGAAGTTACAAGTAAAAATAATTGTGTCGACTCAATCAAACTCAGTTTTGTTATCAAGCTTAATTATGATAGCAAATTATTGTTAATATAGTAAATTGATAGTAGAATACTAATATAAATTTGAGAAATACAATTCAATAATTTTCATTAAAAATAATGCAGGTATAAATAATGCTACACAGTATATTATAATTAAACAGTTATATTTTAATTTTATATTTCATTATATATTTATATTTTAATTTTATATTTTATTATATATTTTATATTTTTATTTTAATTCTTGAATGTCTATTATACGTACATCATTTTAATTTGCCGAATTCTAATTGTGTATATAATTTTAATTTCTGAATTTTTGTTATGTAGCAGATAACACAAGCGCGCGCTTCGCGCGCGTTATTAATATTATTTTTAGTTTTTATTTTACAATTGTCAAATTATTAAATTATTAAATTTATATTTAATATTAGAAAAATTATTTTTTTGAATATAATGTTGATATGAATAATTCAATATTAATATTATACGTACTGAAATAGTCTTTTAAAAATATCTTAAAGCAATCACGAATATTCTTAAAATATATGTTATGTTTGAGATATTTAGTATCAATATTATAAAAAATAATTTTAATATATAATTGGATTTAAAGATAAAAAGCTCGTAGGTGTTAATCTGTGTGTATATATAATATCAATATTATTTAAATTTCAGCTAAAACTAAACAGAAAATAACAAAAAACTAGAAAACATATAAGAGATGCTGGATCGTGTCTTCTTTGAGTTGGAAATAGGAAATTTGTCGCTGCAAGTACAGTTTCCACGTGCAATATTGTATTTCATAGGAACGATAATCTAGATTCCATTTTATAATCTTCGATACAATGCCACGTATTTTCCGAAGGCAGAGAAATTCAAACTTGAGAAATTCTTTAAATAAAAACAAAAAGTATGAGTGTAATCTCAATGCTCATTGCCATTCAGATTAAATACGATATAATGTGCACCGGAAACAGATTCGATTTTTTAAAACAAAATTATGCTACTCTACAATATTTGCTGGATCGTTGAGATTTGAAACCATGCGAAAAGACCTCGATGTTATTAAAATAAAAAAAGGACGGATTTCCAGTGCAAGCCGAAAGAAGTTTCTTTAACTAAGGTGTTGCTTAAAAAACAACAACCAAACTACTACCCACAAATTAAATGTCTCAGTTGTTAGATAATTAAAGAACAGTTGTGCTGATAGAAATAATTCACAGTTGTTAAAATGTATTGGAAGATAAAAATATTTTATATCATATAAATGATATAATATAAATATAAATGTAGACAACATTATGCACATATAAACATTTAATAAATAGGTTTAATGATGTTAGAAATAGAGTAAAAGTTGGAAAATAGTGAACTCGCGCGACAAATGCAAATTATTTTAGCAATATTAGTAACCTTGATCCTAAAAATGTTATTTATTCGTTCCATTGATAATGATTAATGCCACTTTAATTTCGTTAAAAATAATTAAACTAATAGGAAATTTCGTTATCTTTTTATTGACTATTTGTTAGTCGACATAAATTTCGTGAAACATTAGTAATGTGTAAAAAGTAATATAATATTTAAAAATATAAAAAATAATAGAATCAATTTAACATATATTACCTCAATTTTTTCAAATTATATTAACAACTAGTCGAAACTACTTTTGCGCAATATATCTGTTATACAATTACAATTACATTGTTGAAATAGTGTGGTTAACGTATATTGCGTAAGCGATATATCATGATTGAAAATGCAGTATCATGCTCATATATATAAAGAGATTAGACCGATGCGAATGTCAGTCGGGCGTCGAATCTCGACGCGTAACGCTATCTTCGGGCATTACCTTTGCTAGTAATTGCATAACAAAGTTATTTGCGATAAAGTGCGACAATTGATTTCAATTTATATTCTGAATATACGTAATATATGAATAGTGATTTCATAAAGTAAAATTTTGTTTTCAATATGGTATACGTAATCGCTTTGACGCTGATAGTAGGCGCTCTAGGACTTTATTATTATTTCTTCAAAGATTTGAATTCTTTCAAGAAACATGGTATACCATATAAAACACCACTTCCTATATTAGGAAATATGGGACCATCGGTCTTCCGTCGTGAATCAATAATTGATCTTGTGAAAAATATCTACAATTTAAATCATGAAGCCAAGTACGTTGGCTTGTTTGATATCGCCGGGCCGCTCGTAGTACTCCGCGATCGCGAGCTTATTAAATCTATCGCGCTGAAAAATTTCGACTTATTCCCGGAGCATCGCTCTTTTATAGAGGAGCATCAAGATCCACTATTCGGCAAAAATCTGTTTGCCCTTAAAGAAGAAAGATGGCGGCAAGTACGTCCATTATTGAGTCCTGCTTTTACATCTAGCAAGATGAAAAGTATGTTCAAACTGATGTCCGAATACGGCGCTGAATTTAGCAATTATTTGACACAATTGCCGGCAGAGAAGAGGAAAGTCATGGATATAAAAGATACGTTTACGAGGTACACAAATGATGTAATTGCTACATGCGCTTTTGGTATTAGTGTTGATTCTATGAGAAATCCAAAGAACGAATTCTACGTTTACGGCAGAGAGGCGACCAATTTTGATCTTGTCGCATTTATTAAGATGTACGTATATAGAAGGTTGCCTTGGTTGGCACAAATATTTAAATTAAGAATTGTTCGTCAACAAATAGCAAATTTCTTTCGAGATCTCGTAGAAACCACCATAAAAACCAGAGATGAGAATGGTATCGTTCGTCCGGACATGATGCAACTGTTGATGGAATCTAGAAGTAAAGGTAAGGAGGGCAAAGCAGAATTATCTATCGAAGACATGGTATCTCAGGCGTTCATTTTCTTCTTTGGCGGCTTCGAAAGCACTTCGACATTAATGTGTTTCGTTGCGCACGAGCTCGCGGTGAATCCGGAAATACAAAAAAAACTTCAACATGAAATCGATCAAGTCTTGGAAGAATCAAATGGACAAGCACCATACGAAATGGTTAATAACATGGAATATTTAGATGCCGTGATTAGCGAAGCTCTCAGAAGGTATCCGGTTGCTGCAGCAACGGACAGAGTATGTGTGAAAGAATTTGAATTGCCCCCGACATTGCCAGGAATGAAGCCCTTTACTATAAAAAAAGGAGAAGCTATATGGATACCGATTTATGGACTTCATCATGATCCGCAGTACTTTGAAGATCCAGAAAAGTTCGATCCTGAACGATTTCTTGGTGAGCGAAAGAAAGAGACTCTAAACTCTGGAGCTTATCTTCCTTTTGGACTTGGTCCGAGAATGTGCATAGGTAATAGATTCGCTTTAATGGAGACAAAAGTTTTGTTGTTCCATTTATTGGCACGTTGCGATATAAAAACTTGCGAAAAAACTCAAATACCACTCAAGATTGCTAAGGACGGCTTCAATATGAGGCCCGAAGGTGGGTTCTGGCTGAATGTATCACCAAGAAAAAATGTTCATCACACTGTTGCTATCAATGCTGTCAATGGGACACGGTAAGAATATTTCATTAATATATTTTAATTATATCTTCAAAATTAAAAAATGAATAATTTTTTAATATAAAAATATTTCCAGCTATTTTGTTTATCCACAACTATTATGATATTGATATAAAAGAGAAAATCATTTTTTATTTTACTTTTTTGAAGATTTCGCATACTATATAATGATATGCAATGTTAGTTTTATTTAATTTTAAAAAACTTTTCTATATTCAAGTATAACTTTTATATTATAAATAATTTAATATTAATAGTATGTGAAATAAACGTGTTTTAAAAATATTTTAGATTTTTAAAATAATCACTGATATTTTAAAAATACTATATATATGTATATATATATATATATATGATCTTATCGTTTAATTTTGATACCGTAAAATAATTTTAATGAATATAAGGAGAGAGAAATAAAAAAGATCTTCTATAGCTCTGTGTATATGTTTAATATATTATTTGAATTTCAGATAAAAGAAAAGAAGAAAACCAGAAAATTAAAATAAACATAAAGGATGTTTGTTTTTGAAATTTCAAGTAAGAAAACTTGTTGCTGCAAGTTCAAGAAACAACGTTATATTATTATTACATTATCAGGGATATTTTAGTTTGTTAAAACATAATCATTTTCTTCCTCCTTATTTTGATAAGAATACTATAAAAGGACAAGTATAAAAAATTTGAAAATCAAAAGCTATTTTTTAATTTTTTATTTTATATAGTAATTTTGAATCAATTTGTAACGGGTGTGTCTTTTTTAATATAAATATTAGCGTGATTATTATTATCGTAATAATTTTATCTGCAATTTTCACAATATTTTGTTACATTTTATTTTTTTTATATCTTGTTATATATATAAAAACAGAAATATTTTATTGTTACTATCTTTTTTACAGATGAGTATTATTAAAAATGGATAAATTAAAAATACATATATATATATATATATATAATATATATATATATTATTACAGATTATATATTGCAACAATTCATGTTACGTACATATACATATATTGTTTTATGTTTGCGTCTTCTTATTTAATTATTCGTTGAATTAATATTTGAAAAAATCTTGACACGTTGCATCAAATTACGCAACAAACTCCTCCATATAGTATATATTCAAGAAAGAACAAATAGCGGGAGAAAGAGGAAGTTGATTATTATGATTCGTCAATGTCATATGGTCTTTCGTGATCACTTTAATTTTATTTTTCAATTTAGCATATGTATACATAATAAAAAGCGTTTCCAAAAACTTGTTATTTTTCTGTCTTATTGAAATTATATATACATATATACACATATGTAATATATATTTTCCATTTATTATATATATTCCATGAAAGCAATACATTGTGTTTATTTTCAAGAAAAATATAAAAAAAGACAAATTTTCTTCGTTAATATTAAAAATAGATAAGAGTATTTATCTACTGTTAACTATCGATAAAGATATTTTCCTTTATCGCGTTTGACCTTTATGACCAATGTCAAGATTTGTAATCAACGTTATAATTATGATTAATATTATGATTCTTAATAATATTATTGTTTATTGTAAACTTTTTTTCACCAATGTGTACTTCTTATATACATGTGTTAAAAACAAAATTATTGCTAAGAAAAAAGATTAAAATAGGCTCAATGATCAAATAAAAAAAATATGAAAAGAATTAAGATCAAGTGTTGCTCCTTATTTTTCTCTCGTGTCGTAATCAACGATGAACTTGCAATTTATAATGCATTAATAATCTTTTATCTTTATAAATGTAATTGTGTTAATAAGTACATGTATTTTTCCACCACATTTCGTTGAATTTTATATAAGCAAGTTGTTTTCATAATTTATTACGTAAGAATAAATATATATGATAGAGAGGCAAACACGTTAATCTTAGCAGTGGAGACTAATGATTACATACTATGATGAAGAATAAAAAATGCATATCATATTACATATAACACAACAAAAATGTATAACATGCAGATATATTAGATGAACAAAGTTGACATGAATAAATCTACAAGATAATATGACCCACACATACACTTAATATACTATTATATTTATGTTATATAATATTATCATAAAACTTATAAATTATTATGCAAAATATTATATTGCAAAAATTTATGAACTATCTATCTATCTATCTATTGTGTGTGTATATGCATATACATATAAATAAATATTAATAATAATATTAAAAAGAATATATATATATATACAATATATAAAATATGTAAAATAATATATGTATTTTTGAATATTACATCTGCTGCTCATGATTATATTCCATCAACATACGAAAATAGCTTAGCTTAATACGTCAAACTGCGCAGCTGCTCTTCTGCATGATAGATATAAAACAAAGAAAGATGGAGAGTGAGAAAATTGACCATCGTAACTGGACGTGCAATATGTTGATGTCTTTCATGGACACTTCAATATTATAATTTTTCTGTTGTAAGCGCGCATAATAACTTTAGAATAAATTTTCTATATAAAGTGTGCTATTGTGTGTTGCGTCGTGTTTAATTTATCATTAATTGTTTAACAAAAAGTAAAATAATTTCTAATTTATGTTATCTATGTTAAAAATGCTATCTATTATACGATTTTTTTAATGTCTTAGGATTCATATAATTGTAAACTAAACATTCGTATTTCAAATACTCATTTATTTCTCTGTAAAATAAAAACACCGATATTAGAATAAAGAGATCTTCTGATATATGTATTATTTATCTTTCAGATAAAATGTATGTGAGATTATCACAATTAAGAAGTCAAGTCAATTATCAGTCAAGATAAAACGAATCATTTATCTTTTGACTTTCTGACAAGGTCGTATTTCTGTTGCTAATTCAAGCGAGTAATGGAGATAAAGCCATCGGAATCATCGACATCCTTATTTAGAGTGGTAAATGCTAATATGAATATCTGAACAATGCAACGGAGAATATAATATATTCAGAAGCATTATTAATCATAACCATAATGTCATATGAGTGATGTAAGTTCTGCCAATAATGATTAATATTTGATATAATAATTTTTTATTTTATAATCTGTTAATAACTGCGTAATATATTTTATAATATTTTAATTATATTTTTTTCCACTTCTACATCGTTATATTCTTTCTTCGAATATGTTTCTTAAGTGTTAAAAACAAAGCTGTTATTATCTCCTTACAATAAAAAAATGGTAAAACAGAAAACAATATTAATTAAAAATCAAAATGATACTTCTTATCTCATTTTTGTCGTGATTATATTGATCAATTTCTAACTTTATCTCGCTAATTATATCTGTAAAACAATTTTTCGTTCCAATAAATGCGCCACTTCGATTTTGCGCAATTGAATCCGATTCGTCATCGTACAATATGTATACTTGATTCTCTAAAAATTGTTTGAAATAATACAATGTATATTGTAAATTTTTATTAGCATGCAGTTGTGTATGATGTAATTTAATCTCTCGCATTATTACATTCTCTACATATATTAACTTGAATATGCACGAGATTATATTTGCAATAAAGAATTATTCCAATTAATAAATATTTAGTTTCAACAAGTATAAAGAATTAATTTAATAAACTTTTCAATCAATAGAAAATATAGACTTTCTTCCTAACATACTTATACAAATATAAACGTAATTTTGACATACTACGCAATAAATAGTCCAATGATGTCATACATATCCGCACGTACATAAAAGGAAAACATTATTCACGGAGCAGCAGTTGGCCGTTCTACTCCGACGCGCAACGTCATTCGCACGCAACGCCATCCGGACTTTAATAACACTATATATATATATTCGAATGTCAATCGTGTAGTGTTCTGTGCATTACTTTTCTTTCCGTAATTTTCGATTCTATCGTACAAACCGTGATCGGCATGAATATATTAATCGCCTTGTCAGTGATAGTAGGTGCTTTAGGCATCTATTACTATCTTTTTAAAGACTTGAACTTTTCAAGAAACATGGAATACCGTATAAGACGCCTCTCCCATTACTGGGAAACATGGGATCGGCGCTCCTTCGCCGGCAATCAATAGCTGATTTCGTGAAATGGATCTACAATTTGTCTCCTGACGCCAAGTACGTCGGCATGTATGACATGACTCAGCCGCTCATAGTGCTCCGCGATCCTGAGCTTATTAAATCCATCACGTTGAAATATTTCGACATGTTCATGGATCATCGTAGATTCATCGACGAAACGCAAGATCCATTTTTTGGCAAGAATCTCGTCGCTCTTAGAGGAGATCGGTGGCGAGAAGTGAGATCTGTACTGAGTCCAGCTTTCACGTCCAGCAAAATGAAAAATATGTTCAAGTTGATGTCGGACTGCGGCGCCGATTTTGCCAATTACTTGTCGCAATTACCAACGGAGAAAAGGATGATGGAGATGAAAGATGTTTTTACGAGATACACGAATGACGTAATAGCTACTTGCGCCTTTGGCGTCAGTGTTGATTCTATGAGAAACCCGAAGAACGAATTCTACGTGTACGGCAAGGAGGCGACCGGTTTTAACGGTTTGATCCTCTTGAAATTTTATATATTTCGAAGCTTGCCTTGGCTGGCGCGAATAATTAATTTGAAATTTATTCCGGAAAAGATAGCCAATTTTTTCCGAGATATCGTGAAAACCACAATAAAAACTAGGGACGAGAAAAACATCGTTCGACCAGACATGTTACAATTGATGATGGAGAATAGAGGTAAAGATGGCAAAGCAGAATTGAGTATCGATGATATGGTAGCCCAGGCGTTCATTTTCTTTTTCGGCGGTTTTGACAGCAGTTCTACGTTAATGTGCTTTGCCGCTCACGAAATCGCGATTAATCAGGATATACAGAAGAAACTTCAAAATGAGATCGACGAGGTGTTGGAAAAAACAAATGGACAAGCACCATACGAAGCAATTAATAGCATGGAATATTTAGATGCTGTGATTGACGAGGCCTCAGAATGTATCCGGTTGGTGTGGCATTGGACAGAGTGTGCTTACAAGATTTCGAGTTACCACCGACATTACCGGGGAAGAAACCGTTTATCATAAAAAAAGGACATGGCATATGGATACCGGTTTATGGGCTTCATCACGATCCTCAATACTTTGAAGAGCCGGAAAATTCGATCCCGAGAGATTTCTTGGCGAACAAAAGAAACGTAGTCTCAACTGCGGAGCCTATATTCCCTTCGGTCTAGGTCCCAGAATGTGTATAGGTAACAGATTCGCGTTGTTGGAAACGAAAGTTCTGCTCTTTCATTTACTAGCGCGTTGCGATCTCAAACCTTGCGAGAAGACACCAATACCGATGAAGTTTGCTAGAGACGGATTTAATTTGAAGGCCGAAGGAGGTTTTCTGGCTGAATATCTCACCGAGAAAAAATCTGCATCGTACTATTGCAGTTGTGAATGGCAATTGTAAGAAAATTATTTTTATATATCGAATAATCGAAATTTATAATTTAAAAATTCATAAAAATTATTTTCTGCTATTTTTTGTTATACTCTTAATCAATCATGTAATGTATTAATTTTTTAACAAGAAGTAAAATAATTTCTAATTTATTTTATCTATGTTAAAAAATGCTATTTGTCATATTTTTTTTTAGTTTGTTAGAATTGACATGATTTTGAAAATCAAAAATTTCATATTCCAAGTACTAACAATTTCTTTATAGGAAATAAAAACACCGATGTTAAAATGGAGAAATTTAAGATTTTTTAAAAGATATATTATTTATTTTTCAGATAAAGAGTATGTGAGATTAACAATCAATGATCAAGATGGAGCAAGACCTTTATCTATTGACTTTCTGACAAAAGATATTTATGTTGCTAATAATGAGGCAAGTAATGAAGATAAAGCGATTGAATCATCGACATCCTTATCTAGAAATTTGTGATAAATGCTATAATATAATTTGAGCAATGCAACAAACACACAGAGTATTCAGGGGCATTATTAGTTAAATAGATGCCATACGTTTGATATGAGCTCTGCTAATAATGATTAAATATTCAACATAATTTTTTTTATTTTATAATCTGTTGTAATAATTGCGTAAAGTATATTTTATATTTTAATTAAATTTTTTCTGTTTTTACATTATTATATTTTTTCTTCGAATATGATTTTTACTCGTTAGAAACGAAGTTGTTATTATCCCTTGTGATAAAAAATGATATCAGAGAAAACAGTATGACAAAGATTAAAATCGAATGATATTTCTTATCTCATGATTATACTGATTTATAACTTAATCTCGCAAATTACCTTTTATCTGATATAGACAAATGCGCAGTTGTTGTTGCAATAAGCATCTGCTATGTTATAATAATTTGCTATGTTTGACAATAAACTATTATATGGGCAAGCTACAATACATTAAATAATAGTAAGACTATACTAATAATTATATAAAAAAAACTATGAAAAATTAAAACCAATTTATTAAGAGTACAAGAATTTTCTTTATAAATGAAAGCTGATGTTCAAAAATCAGCTTTACATATACCTAAATTTATTGCCCAAAACTAAGATTAAATTATGATTATAGAAACGCACGGCATTATTATACAACCTTAATCAATGATAGCTGCACAGTAATACAATCCCAAGTTTGCTTCGAAAGCTACACAATTATAAGATTTCGCTGTTGCAAGTATTATACATAGACCTCGTGACAGAGAGTTTCCCGATCTAGCGGCATAATATAATAGATGGGATTCTGCGCGAAAGCCATCTCTCTCTCTCTCCCTCGCATTGACCAAAGGGATCTGCATTGGTTGCACGTTCTCGCGCGCAGTTGCACGGTGGATAACAGCCGTATAATATATTCGGCTACGTGATTGGGCATTTCCAGAGACGCGATACGAGAGCTTGTGAATGCCACTTTAATGAGCGGTCCAGAGAGCGTGAGCTGCTCTTCCAAAGAAATCGCGCGGACAAACCGGACCTGTATTAAATAAGGCGTTCGCGTGACGCTTGCTCGCTGTAGCGAGCCAACTGGACACTCTGTTGCATTCGATCCACTTGGTCATTAGATACAGTTATCCTTCAATGCTACGAGAGATCCTTGTAATTTAGATAATTACCAGGCCGACTGATAATCATCGGCCAAGTTCCGCGCGCTTAATGCATCATAATGAACGAGAACGCGATCGGTGGTTGCATCAACTAGTTTTTAGATTTTTATAATCCCGGTGTAATCATTTATGATCAGATCTTACATAACTCGTATCAATTATGTTTCTTTTCTACGAAAATATGCAAGTCACACAAATATTTTTTGAAAAATATATAATTGATAAAAAGATTATTAATATTAATACATTTAACGAGAGAATCTTTTTGATGAAAGAACACTTTGCACGAAAATATATTTTGAATAAAATTTAATATTATACATATACATATAATAGTTTGTGCAAGACTATCACTGGTAAAAATGGCCATTTTCAACTCCCCGAGGTGTATGTCCGAGCAAGTATCTGACTCGATAAAAGTACCCCTTCTCTAATCTAATTCACTTACCGCCGCTGGAAAGGGACCGCATGTTGGAGAAGGGCCAGGAATTGATGAAGTAGGGATCATAAGGGTGGCTCGAAACGATGCATTGTCTCGCTACGAAGAAATTGAGCAGGGTGTGTGGCAAAAACACTCTTATAATTATTTTTCGAGTTCTTTGCACTATTCTCTCTCCATATATATAATTAGAAAATATGAACTAAAATAAATATTAAGACCAAAAAAAACTGCGATTTCTTGCTCAATTTATTGTAAAATTTGTCGTTTTCACTATTATTTATTTTTTCGAAAAAATAGTATTGATTGATATAATAATGTAATATTGTATGCGTTTCTCGATTAAAATAATAAAAAAAATTTATAGCATAATAATTTTCTTAAATTATTTCTACATTAAAAAAGTATTCTTTTCACGCTTCAAAATTTCAAGATTTTAACATTTTTATGACTAGACGTATATTGCATACATTTAAAAATTCATACAATTACAAATATAATTAGAACAAGTAAAGTGTTGCACTTACATTGTAAATGGTGAGAGCTTCACAAATTCATAAACTTCCGAAACCTGAAATTTAAAAAATATTTCTAATTAACTTGAGTAAATAATTTTGTTAAATCATATTTTTTAGCAAAAACATATTTAATAATAATTAAGAAATAATCATGGTTTCATTTTATAAATATAGATACTATTATAATATGCACATATATGAATATGTGCGGTAACTTTTATTTTATTTTAGTATAAAAATAATCTTTTAATAATCCTTTAACACACACATTTTCGGAGAAATTGCTATTAATCGATGCAGACGCAAGTACAAAATGCATATCATTTCTATGCTAAACATTCAATCAGAATCTAGTGTTTATTTATTAACAACTTTTTTTGCTGAATCTCAGTGACAATGTAGCTTTGCGCTTAGTTTTAGTTTACATAATGTTAATAGATAAAATAACAAGATTTTTTTAACTTTTAGTATGGCACACCTGTTACTAAAATTATAATAGAATCATGTGTGATAATCTTATTTTCTAAAAAAAATCTCAAATAAAACTTTGTTAGATCGTCGTAATATTTTATTGCATCATGATGAATCGCGAAAACCGAGATCTAACAAATCATGCTTTTTTCGTGATGAAAAGTTTCTCGCCTGGCAATGAAGATAATGGATTCATAAACCTTGTTATATATACTCTTTCCAAAATGTATAAAATCTGAGTTTTCTTTATCATTCAACGTCTAAACCAGTTAATACTTTATATATAAGTCACCTCCCCGTTTAATATATTTCATTGATTTTTTGTTGTAACCTTGTTTGAGAGTTTGGATTATTTGTAATACCGTGAGCAATGAAAAATTTGATAATTAAAGTAGCTTTGTTTTTTTTTACCAAAATTGTACCATAACTCATAATAAATATTTCATTTTCATTAATTTTTTCAAAATTTTAAAATATTTATAATATTTATATTTTTATAAAATATTAATAAAAGGGTGTCCACCAATATAATTGTATGATTAAAATATTAAGTGACAAATTTTAATAATATGTTTTAAAGATTACATACATACAATAGAAAATCGGAAATTTTAAATATATATATATATATATACACATACACATACACATACACATAAAATAAACATAAGCATGAAAGAAAAAATGTATATACATAGAATGAAAAAAATAGAATAATAAGATAGTTATATGCATAATAATATCACATCTTTTCTCTCTTTTTCTTTCATGTCATGCTTATTTTATGTGTATGTGTATGCACAATAAAAGAAACAATCATATATTTCATATTACAATATATTATACATTTATCATATATTTATCAAACAGTTATCATATATTTAATATGATAAAAAATGATAATGTTAAAAATTATATATTAAAAAATATAGAAAAGACTTAATGCATTATGTTACAAGAATGTTACGGCTTTCATCATTAAGTATCATATCTCTTATTAAAACTTTCTAGTTACTATTACTTAAAATGTTTTCTAAGGCTTAGCACCGTTATCCATTCTAGATTTAAGAGAAGGATGGATATCGCTTCTGGGTTGAACACTCAACCAAAATCCTCCTTCCGGTACCATTATTATACCTTTTTGAAATTTTACTATTGGCAATACAGTTTTCGCGCAAGGTCTCAACTCGCATCGTGCTAATAGGTGAAATAGTAAAACTTTCAACTCTAGCATGGCAAATCTGTTGGCTATACACATTCTCGGCCCTAATCCAAATGGCATATAACACGCAGAATTGTGATACATCTTGTTGTCTAAAAATCTTTCAGGACAAAACTTTTCCGGATCATCGTAGTACTTTGGATCATGATGAATCGCGAAAACTGGAATCCAAAAATTCATACCCTTCTTCATAGTGAAAGGCTTCTCGCCTGGTAATGCGGGTGGTAATTCATAATCTTTGTCGCATAATCTATCTAAAAAGATGACTGGCGGATATAATCTGAGAACCTCGTTTATCACCAAATCTAAATATTCGAGCTTATTAAGAGCTTCATAAGTCACTTCTCCGTTTGACTCTTCCAGAACCTTGTCGATTTCTTGTCGCAATTTCATCTGCACATCTAGATGAGCCGCAAGTTGGAGGGCTGCAAAGGACATTGCGGTTGAGCTAGTATCGAAGCCACCGAAGAAAAAGATGAACGCTTGTGCGATCATATCGTCGATATCAAGTTCTCTTCGACCTTCTTTACTTCTAATATCCATCATCAATTGAAGCATATCCGGACGCGTAATGTTTTCAGTATCACGAGTGGCGATTGTAGTTTTTATAATATCCTTGAAGAAACCCGACACATGATTGTCTATAAGCTTTATATTGAGAATTCGTCCGAGCGACGGAAAAGTTCTAAGAAAAAGAAATTTGAAGCTGCGAGTTCCAAAGAAACTAGTCGCCTCTTTGCCAGAAACATAAAATTTGTTCGTTGGATCCTTCATAGAATCAATCTTAATTCCAAAAGCACAGGTAGCGATGACATCATTCGTATATTTAGTGAAGGCGTCTTTCATGTCCATGTCGCTTTTTTCCCTTGCAGATGCTAAAAATTTAGCAAAGTCTATAGCGCATTCCGACATCAAAGTGAACATCATCTTCATCTTGCTGGATGTAAAAGAGGGACTTAATAGAGTTCGCACGTCCCGCCACTTTTGTCCGTGAAGAGAAAATAGATTTTTGGCGAGCAAGGGTTCGTTTAAACCCTCGAAACCGCGACGATCTGGAAATGTGTCGAAATTCTTTACAAGAACAGATTTAATGATTTCTGGATCGCGAAGCAAAAAGACCGGATTCGTCGTGGCAAAAAATCCAAAGTATTTTGCGTCTGGAATAGAATTGTACACCTTGTTCATAAATTCGATAAATGATATTCGACGAAATACAAATGGTGTCATGGAACCTAGTATTGGAATAGATGATTCATACTGAATGACACCGTGTCTTTTGAAGAAATTGTAATTTTTAAACAGATAATAAATGCCAAGTGCACCGAACACAATTGATAACAGTATCGTCAAGTATTCCATGACGCACGAATGCTATTTCAAATTGTCAATTGTCGTAATTTATTTACGAAATGCTTAACGGAACTTGATTTAGTGCACTAACATATTGCTGCCACAGATCGCTGTGGGTAACTGTTCGTACGGCAGCTCTGTATCTGTTAATATAGCCAGGAATCTTTCTGACGTAAAACTCTTTAAACTGTCATTATATAAGATTAATGGTAATACTGATGAAACATTGGTACTTTGTTCTATCATGCTGACAAGAAGTATTTCTTTATCTATTGATAATAATTGTATAATACGATATTAATATGATAATACCAAAATATATATATATATATATATATATATATATATATATATATTCGTGTACTTTTGATGTATATAATATACAATTTATTTGTATATAAGATACGGTTTCTATTTATATGTAGATAATCATGTTTAATTTTCAATATTAAAATTAATATGCTTTGCAATTAAATTGTTATTTGCTTTATTATCAAGTTATTTTAAAATTGTAAAAATTTTTATATAAATATTGTGTCTGTGAGAGATTTAGTTATAGCATTCAAGGATAGAAAGATGAGAAATAACAGAAGTAAATAACAAATTAAGAGTTTAACAAGGCTCTGTAATATAAATATAAATTTAAAGTGTAACACAGGCAATAAGAGTCAAATCGCGGATGACAGTGCGTTATCCCAACGAAACTAAAATTTTTTCGTTAGAATTAAATACCTGTGCACAAGGCACCAAATTTTACTTGATCACGGCCAAGGTTTAAAATTGGAATAATCTCTACAAGAGATTTAATTCCATACATCCCCTCTTTCCTCCTAAGGAAATAAATGCGAGAGTAAATAACAAAATTATTTTTTTCCTTTGGTTTAAATATGTTACTTGAGATTATTTTATATACATGTATTTACTCAAAGAAAATTATTTTTCAAAAGAAAATGCGTCTATATAATATTAAAAATATTTTATTCGAATTGGAAAAATAATTTTCTTTGAGTAAGTACATATATGTAAAGTAATCTCTATTAACATAATTTAAACTATTTAAGAAAACAAAAGTTAGTTCTGTGTGTGTGTGTTATGACTCATTATAACTCATCATTACTCATAATAAATATTACATTTTCATTAAATTTCACAAAATTTTAAAATATTTATAATATTTATATTTTTATAAAATATTAATAAAAGTGTATCCACAAGTAATATAATTGTATGATTAAAATATTAAGTGTTAAATTTTAACAGTATATTTTAAAGATTACGTACATACAATATAGAATTGAAAATTTTAAACATGTTAATATATGTACTATATAGTATATAGTAGTTAGAATAGTACATGTATATAGAATAGAAAGAATAAAATAATAAGATATAGTTATATGCATAATAATATCACATCTACTCTCTCTTTTTTCTTTCATGCTCATGTTTATTTCAAGTGTACAATAAGAGAAACAATCGTATTTTTTATATTATATTATATATTTATCATATATTAATCAAACAGTTATTATATATTTAATAAATGTTAAAAAATGAGATATTAAAAAATAGAAAAGATGCTAAAATATGCGTCTTTAAAAAATTCTACAAAGAATTATTTTTAACTTTTCTATTTTATTACTTAAAAATTAACTTTTTTATATAAAAATGATAATGCCAGAAAACTGAGCCAAATCGTCAAAGACATATTATATACATACAAAAAAATAATTTTGTTTACAATTTTAATATTAAAGTTATTACATTCAATAAAATTTAATATACTCGTATAATTATATATTTTATTCGAGTATGTGTACTTCGGTATGTGCATTTTAATGTGACTATAAAAAAACCTGTAAGATATAAGATATATACATATGCATGCTTTTAGATAAATAATAAGTTAAATAAAAATATATATTAATAAAAATTACTAAAAGTAAAAGTTAATTAAAAAAGTTTTAATGCACAAAAACTTGGCGCTATTATTTCAATAAAAAATAATATTTTGACTATTATAATAAATACAGCTACGTTTATGCAATAATGTTTATTGAAATATAAAATTTAAATATTTAATAAATATCGAATCCTATCAAATTATACAAATACTAATCTTTAACACTTGCCAAATACGCAAAAAGAATTTTATTGATACAGGTGACTATTACTTAAAATTTTTTCTAAGATTTAACATTGTTATCCATTCTAGATTTAAGTGAAGGATGCATATCGCTTCTGGGTTGAACACTCAACCAAAATCCTCCTTCCGGTACTATTAATATACCTTTTTCAAATTTTACTATTGGCAATATAGTTTTCGCGCAAGGTCTCAACTCGCATCGTGCTAATAGGTGAAATAGTAAAACTTTCAACTCTAGCATGGCAAATCTGTTGGCTATACACATTCTCGGCCCTAATCCAAATGGCATATAACACGCAGAATTGTGATACATCTTGTTGTCTACAAATCTTTCAGGACAAAACTTTTCCGGATCATCGTAGTACTTTGGATCATGATGAATCGCGAAAACTGGAATCCAAAAATTCATACCCTTCTTCATAATGCAAGGCTTCTCGCCTGGTAATGCGGGTGGTAATTCATAATCTTTGTCGCATAATCTTTCTAAAAAGATGACTGGCGGATATAATCTGAGAACCTCGTTTATCACCAAATCTAAATATTCGAGCTTATTAAGAGCTTCATAAGTCACTTCTCCGTTTGACTCTTCCAGAACCTTGTCGATTTCTTGTCGCAATTTCATCTGCACATCTAGATGAGCCGCAAGTTGGAGGGCTGCAAAGGACATTGCGGTTGAGCTAGTATCAAAGCCACCGAAGAAAAAGATGAACGCTTGTGCGATCATGTCGTCGATATCAAGTTCTCTTCGACCTTCTTTACTTCTAATATCCATCATCAATTGGAGCATATCCGGACGCGTAATGTTTTCAGCATCACGAGTGGCGATTGTAGTTTTTATAATGTCCTTGAAGAAACCCGACACATGATTGTCTATAAGCTTTATATTGAGAATTCGTCCAAGCGACGGAAAAGTTCTAAGAAAAAAAAATCTGAAGGTGCGAGTTGCTAAGAAATTAGTCGTCTCTTTACCAGAAACATAAAACTTGTTCGTTGGATTCTTCATAGAATCAATCTTAATTCCAAAAGCACAGGTAGCGATGACATCATTCGTATATTTTGTGAAGGCGTCTTTCATGTCCATGTCGCTTTTTTCCCTTGCAGACGCTAAAAATTTAGCAAAGTCTGTAGCACATTCCGACATCAAAGTGAACATCATCTTCATCTTACTGGATGTAAAAGAGGGACTTAATAGAGTTCGCACGTCCCGCCACTTTTGCCCACGAAGAGAAAATAGATTTTTGGCAAGCAAGGGTTCGTTCAACTCATCAAAACCGCGACGATCTGGAAACGTGTCGAAATTTTTTACAAGAACAGATTTAATGATTTCTGGATCGCGAAGCAAAAAAACTGGGTTCGTCGTGGCAAAAAATCCAAAGTATTTTGCGTCTGGAATAGAATTATACACCTTGTTCATAAATTCGATGAATGATATTCGACGAAATACAACTGGTGCCATGGAACCTAGTATTGGAATAGATGGTTCATACTGAATAACACCGTGTCTTTTAAAGAAATTGTAATTTTTAAACAAATAATAAATGCCAAGTGCACCGAGCACAATTGATAACAGTAACGTCGAATATTCCATGGCGCACAAATGTTATTTCAAATTGTCAATTGTCGTAATTTATTTACGAAAAGCTTAACTTGATTTAGTGCACTAGCGATATTGCTGCCACAGATAGCTGTGGGTAACTGTTCGTACGGCAGCTCCGCATCTGGTAATATAGCCGGGGATAATCATTCTGACGTAAAACCTTTCAAACTGACATTATATAAAATTAATGCTAATACTGACGAAACATTGGTATTTTGCTCTATCATACTAATAATAAGTATTCCTTTTCTAATGATAATAATTATATAATACGATAATTAATATAATAATACCAAATATATATATATATATATATATATATATATATATATATTCGTGTATCGTTGGTGTATATAATATACAATTTATTTGTATTTAAGATACGGTTTCTATTTATATGTAGATAATTATGTTTAATTTTCAATATAAAAATTAATATGCCTTGCAATTAAATTGTTGTTTGCTTTATTATCGGGTTATTTTTAAAATTGTAAAAATTGCTATATAAATATTGTGTTTGTGAGGGATTTAGTTATAGCATTCAAGGAAAGAAGGATGAGAAATAACAGAATTAAATAACAAAAAAAAATTCGTTTTATTTTGTTATTAAATAGTTTGAGTTATGTTACTTGAAATTATTTTGTATATATGTACTTATTTAAAGAAAATTATTTTTAAAAAATGCATATATATTATTCAAAATATTTCATTCAAATTCAAAAATAAGGGCAATTTTATACAGTTTAATTGTATGCAAATTAAATCTTGTATACAAAATAACATTATATGAAGACACTTTGTTAGTGTAATTAATTTTACTTTTTTTTTGCATTTGTTTGTTACAATAATTTCTTATCACTGTTTATTTACTCTTATAGATTACGATTATAATAATGATGTTACAATTGTTGCGTAACCATTTTGTAAATTATTCATAAATTATAAAAATAAAATCAGAACGCGTAAACTTTATTCTGATAAAAACTATACTTTGGGTGTGTGTGTCTTGTCAATAATTATCTGTCGATAAAATACTGTGAAACAAACTTTGAATAATGTTTGTGCAATGTTGTGCGCAGTTATACTAAGAAGATATAATAAAACGCTTACGTAAGAGTTGCATCAAAGCGTAAACATGCCATTTTCGCGCATGGTTTCAGCTCACATCGTGCTAATAAGCGAAACGATAAGATTTTAATCTCTAATATGGCAAATCTATTGGCTATACACATTCTTGGAAATTCTTTACAAAATAGATTTAATGATTTCTGGATCGCGAAGCAAAAAAACCGGACTTGTCGTGACATAAAATCCAAAGTATTTTGCGTCTGGAATGGAATTGTTCATAAATTTGATATTCGACGAAATACAACTGGTGTCATGGAACCTAATATTGGAACAGAAAATTCATATTGAATGATACCGTGTTTTTTGAAAAAATTAAAATTTTTAAACAGATAATGGATACTAAGTGCACCAATCACAATTGCTAACAATATCGATCTGTATTCCACGTCGCACGAATATTATCTCAAATTGTCGTTGGAATCTGTTTGCCAAATGCCGGACGAAACTTGATTTAGGCGCACTAGCGACATTGATACCACGATCTGTTGCGGGCAACTGTTTCATATCACGTTTACATATGTATATCCACGAATCTTTCTCATTTGAAAAACTATATGCAGATACTGATAGTCGAGATTGTGCTACGAATATATCAAAATATCATTTCCATCTTTATTCTCTGGAATGTGGAATAAAGATAGAATAATGTCTCAAAGCATACTCATTGTGATAGTTTTAATGTAAAATTGTATATCTATTTATTTAATCTGTATTGAAAAGATTTTTACTTATATTGTATATATGTAAATAGCGATGTTTAATTGGCAATATAAAAGATTAATATGACTTTATAATAAAATGCTGTTTGTGTTATTATCAAACAATTTTAAAATTCTATTTGAAAATATTGAGTGTATAGAATTTATTTATAGGATTCAATAAAACTCAATAAAAAATTATGAAAAATGACAAAGAATTGATAAAATGACAATATAACTTGACAATATACTTTATTTTGACATCTAAAAACTATTGTTACAGCTATTCGTTATTGTAAAAATTATCGATTATTTGTCGATATTGAAATGATGAATTAGAAATAATAATGTGCAATTTTGCGGAATCACGCGCGATTCTAATGAAGTTAATATACATATATATTATATAACAGATGAATATGTATATCTATTGCGATGCGTCACATAGATCAACTATGTGACGCATCGCAATAGGTATACATATTCATATATATATATATATATGCTTTAATAAATGTATGTATGTTCTAATAATGTGTTTATTATTATCAGATTTTCTTAATTATTATTATTTAATATTATCGTCATAATTTCGCAATATGCTTGTGTCCAATTCATATGGGTGTCCCGCAGGATTTTTTCCAAGGAGGGGCATGATTAAAATTTTTTTGTTTCTTATTTTTATTCTTTCGTAATTTTTAAATTCTATTTCTTTATTATTTTGTTATATTGCAAATACATTCCATTATGCACAAGGAGCAAATGCTTGATTTTTTACTGACTTCAAGGAGGGCAAATGCCCCCTTTTGTCTTCCCCTGCAGACACCAATGACGTCCAGTTAATATATTCTAATCTTTGATTCTGTGATAACAATCAAGTAATCATTTTGACCTTAACTTCTATCATACTGTGGAGCTAACATCACATTGACAATCATTCTAATAACTCAATGATTTAACAGTATACACTTCGTATAATAGTTATTTATTTGCATCAGTTATATTTTCATAATCATTCATAATCTGTGTGATATGTCTGTTACTTAGATTTTTTATTTTTTACATTTTAATATCTTAAAATTATATAAAATTGTTGTATTAAATTATTTTTTCATTCACTATTTTCGCATATTCAAAAATATATAGGTGACGTATTGTAAATCAGAAAACTTATCAAATTTTCAAATTCTAGCGGTAAAATATAATGTATTTATTGTTTTTCATTTTTATTATTTGCATAATAATTTCGCAATATATCTGGACCCATTTTGCCTACTTTAATCTTTGATTCAGTTATTGCAATGTAACCATTTCGACCTTAACTTTAGTCACATTGTAGAGCTGACATCACTCGAACAATCATTCAAATAACTCAATAGCTTAATAGCATCTTTTTCATAAGTTAAGAATTGTAGGTTTAAACATTAATTAAATTTTGCTTTCATAATCGGCATACCTATTTCTTATATTTTAATATTTCTTTATATTATAAGTAATATTTCTTATATTTCGCACACTTTAATATTTTAAAGTTTTAATAAAAATATAATGATTTTTTCCATATATCCTATTACATCTCTCTTTTTACTTGCATTTATTATTTTAATCAATAATCTTCATTTATATAAAGATATGATTTTATTCATTTATATGTATATATTGTAATTATAAAACAACTATATTTTACGAATACATACATTTAAACACATCTGCAAGTAATAATAAAAATTGAAAAAAATTTTAATATATTAAATGATAAAAATATAAATAATCTCAAATATAAATAAAAAATTTCAGTATCAATTATTCTCAAATTATAACTGCAAAAACCAATAAAAGATAAAATTATATAGGCAAAAGAAATATAAAATAATATTCTATAAACAAAGTCATTTTACAGATATATTAATCGTCGAAAAAAATATTATTCAAAATAAAATTAATTTACATGCCATCTTTAACTGCATACGTATACCTCTATTATATCACTTACTAACATTATTTCTCTGAAACAAAAAAATACAATTTATATTTACATATTCATACATTATATGTATGTATTCAAACGAATTTAAATGTGGCCATTAGTAGTATTAGCATTATCGCTTGTAAATATACGTTTGTCAGTGTAAGAAAAAGCATCACTTCTTGGTTGAATTTTTAGCCAAAATCCCCCTTCTGCCAGCATAGTTAAACTTGATCTACTCAACCGCAACGGATGACAGGTCTTAGCGCACGGTTTCAATTCGCAACGAGCCAATAAGTGAAATATCATGACCTTGGTTTCCAATAATGCAAACCTGTTACCTATACACATTCTTGGGCCAAGTCCGAAAGGTATAAAAGCGCTTGCATTGAAATTTTTCTTATTTTCGTCCAGAAAACGTTCGGGATAAAATTCATTCGGTTTCTCAAAATATTTTGGATCCCGATGAAGACCATAAATAGGAAACCAAATGTATGTTCCTCTTTTTACGACAAAGGGCTTATCTCCAGGAAGCGCTGGGGGTAACTCGAAATCTTTCACACATAATCTATCCACAGCCACTGCCACTGACCATAATCTAAGAGCCTCGTTAATCACAGCGTCCAGATATTGCATTCCATTCACAGCCTCATAAGTTAATTCCCCGTTAGTTTTCTTCAGAACCTCGTCTATCTCATTGCGCAGTTTTACTTGAACATTTGGATTGACGGCGATTTCGTGAATAGCAAAACACATTAAAGTGGAAACGGTATCAAAACCGCCAAAAAAGAAAATAAACGCCTGCGAGGTCATATCTTCAATAGTCAGTTCCTTGCCAGGTCCTCTTTTTCCTCTGCTTTCCATCATCAACTGCAGCATATCCGGTCGTACGATATTCTGTTTGTCTCTGGTGTCTATCGTGCTTCTTACGAGATTTTTGAAAAATTGACTTAAACGATTATCGACAAATTTAATACCCAACATTTTGGTGATAGCAGGCATACTTCTAATAAGGTAGAATTTTATGGTACGCAGAGTGCTAAAACTTGTAAGATCTTTTCCATTAACGTAGAATTCATTGGTAGGAGTTTTCATAGAATCAACACTAATTCCGAAGGCGCAGGTTGCGATTACGTCATTTGTGTATCTGGTAAAGCAGTTTTTCATTTCCATAACACTTTCGTCTGAAGGCAGTTTGGAAAGAAAATCGGCGAAATTAGTGGCGCAATCGGACATTAACTTAAACATAGTTTTCATTTTACTAGACGTAAAAGCAGGGCTTAGTAACGCTCTCACATCTCGCCATTTGTCACCACGAAGTGAAAATAAATTCTTGCCAAATAGAGGGTCATTAGCCTCGTCGATAAAAGCGCGATGATCGGTGAACGAGTCGAAGTATTTCACGCCGATGGACTTGATGAGTTCTGGATCGCGAATCATCACTACTGGATTCATGCCATCGAAGAAACCAACATATTTGGCATCTTGATTCAGATTGTAAACGGCTTCAACGATTTCGGCTAACGATATCTGACGGAAAAAAACTGGTGCCATGTTGCCCACGACAGGCCACGGTGGTACGTGAAGAATTCCATGCTTCTTGAAGAAATTCAAGTCCTTAAAGAAGTAATAATAAACTGCGACGGTGCCAACTAACAGAGACAGTAGTATCCAAGTATCCATGATGACTAGACGTTCTCAAGAATCACACTGATTGTGTTGATACGATGTTGTTAGATCGCGTGCGCACAGTTAACTGCTGAAACGCATAGCAGTTCCTCTCTTTATATACCCACCACAAATCGATTTTTAACTTATACGTTGTTTAGATAACATATCATAAAGCTTTGATTCTAACGAGCAGTGAGTGTGAGAAGGCAAACAATATATGGTTTTCTTGTTTAATGATAATAATAATAAAATGACAATAATAATAACTGAAAAAACTAATATGAATATATGAATATATAAATTTATAAACTTGAAAAATTTTAATTATATACTTCTGCGAAATGCTTATTATTCGATTTATTTAGCTTTGGATGATATCAGGAAACTATTTTAGTGATCTATACACAGAGTATTGTTTTATTATTTGATTTGAAAGAAATATTCTGCATTTTATATTGCTGAACATATGTATACAAATAAATGTATACAAACATATTTAATACGACGTTATATATATATATATATATATATATATATATATATATACGCATCAAAAACTTTCCGATATTATCTCTTAGTGTATGTGTATATTCTAATATACATATAATTCTTTTCTTGTCTAAATATAAAATATTTATTGTGACTTTATATAAAATTCCTATTGCAGCATTATTTTTTTATCTAATATAATTTTTTTAATAGAAAAATAACATTAAATTCAATGTATATTATATATATAGATTTATTCATACAACGAGAAAAATACTAAGACAAGGGAACTTGTTGAAATGTTTTTTATTGAAAAATTTAACAACACTCTCCACTTACAAAAGAGGGGACACCAAAATCTAAATAATAATTACAACAAAATAATAAAGATGGTCTCATCTGTTCTCGGTTTACATGTATATTGACGACATGTTATAATACACAACGTTTCTTTTTTAGTAATTATACTTGATAATAATATCATAGCTTCCATATTGTAAGTGCGTTTACTTGACAATTTTTTCGTAAATTAGCTAACTTTACAATGTACAATTTGTTATTAATTTGAGTGAAATATTGTTTCTATGTCATTGTGCTAATTATTATACTTTATTCTGTTTCTAGTACACTTGAAAAGGATCAAAATCCATCGGTCAAAACGTCGTGTTAATTTTTAATAAAGAAAATATTGCCAGTGTTGGTCGATTATAATCTTGTTCTTAATTTTTATTTACTGGCGACTCTGATCTAACTCTCGGAATATAAATTTATTCGTTTTTGTAAGAATTAATTAAGAAAGAATTTTATCAGCTAATATAATTTTCTCTTTCGCGAATATACAGAAATGCAAATAATGTCTCATGGATCAAAAATTAATTCCAATTACTCTCTCAATTTTAATATAAAAATATAAACTAAATAAAAATTTATATTATAACAAATCATATAAAATAAATAACACTATAAGCATTGCAATATAATCGATTTTTATATTATTACAAAATATTATTAAATAAAAAAAAATTGTTTTTCGCATAATTTCATATCAATATCTCAAGCACAATTTCTCTTAGCCAGTTGTAAGTGTAAAACAGAATCAACCTTTAATTTACAAATATATCGACATTCGTACAGATTCAAATATAGCCACTACCCGCATCATTTTTAACGCTTGTGAATATACTATGAGCATCGCTTCTCGCTTGAATTTTTAGCCAGAATCCTCCTTCTGCCAGCATAGTAAAACTTGATCTACTCAATCGCAATGGATGAGAGGTCTTAGCGCACGGTTTCAATTCGCAACGAGCCAATAAGTGAAATATCATGACCTTGGTTTCTAATAATGCGAACCTGTTACCTATACACATTCTTGGGCCAAGTCCGAAAGGTATAAAAGCGCTTGCATTGAAATTTTTCTTATTTTCGTCCAGAAAACGTTCGGGATAAAATTCATTCGGTTTCTCAAAATATTTTGGATCCCGATGAAGACCATAAATAGGAAACCAAACGTATGTTCCTCTTTTTACGACGAAGGGCTTATCTCCAGGAAGCGCTGGGGGTAACTCGAAATCTTTTACACATAATCTATCCACAAACACTGCCACTGACCATAATCTAAGAGCCTCGTTAATCACAGCGTCCAGATATTGCATTCCATTCACAGCCTCATAGCTTAATTCCCCGTTAGTTTTCTTCAGAACCTCGTCTATCTCATTGCGCAGTTTTACTTGAACATTTGGATTGACGGTGATTTCGTGAATAGCAAAACACATTAAAGTGGAAACGGTATCAAAACCGCCAAAAAAGAAAATAAACGCCTGCGAGGTCATATCTTCAATAGTCAGTTCCTTGCCAGGTCCTCTTTTTCCTCTGCTTTCCATCATCAACTGCAGCATATCCGGTCGTACGATATTCTGTTTGTCTCTGGTGTCTATCGTGCTTCTTACGAGATTTTTGAAAAATTGACCTAAACGGTTATCGACAAATTTAATACCCAAGATTTTGGTGATAACAGGCATACTTCTAATAAGATAGAATTTTATGGTACGCAGAGTGTTAAAACTTGTAAGATCTTTTCCATTAACGTAGAATTCATTGGTAGGAGTTTTCATAGAATCAACACTAATTCCGAAGGCGCAGGTTGCGATTACGTCATTTGTGTATCTGGTAAAGCAGTTTTTCATTTCCATAACACTTTCGTCTGAAGGCAGTTTGGAAAGAAAATCGGCAAAATTAGTGGCGCAATCGGACATTAACTTAAACATAGTTTTCATTTTACTAGACGTAAAAGCAGGGCTTAATAACGTTCTCACATCTCGCCATTTGTCACCACGAAGTGAAAATAAATTCTTGCCAATTAGAGGGTCATTAGCCTCGTCGATAAAAGCGCGATGATCGGTGAACGAGTCGAAGTGTTTCACGCCGATGGACTTGATGAGTTCTGGATCGCGAATCATCACTACTGGATTCATGCCATCGAAGAAACCAACATATTTGGCATCTTGATTCAGATTGTAAACGGCTTCAACGATTTCGGCCTTCGATAACTGGCGGAAAAATGCTGGTGCCATGTTGCCCACGACAGGCCACGGTGGTATGTGAAGAATTCCATGCTTCTTGAAGAAATTCAAGTCCTTAAAGAAGTAATAATAAACAGCGACGGTGCCAGCTAACAGAGACAGTAGTATCCAAGTATCCATGATGACTAGACGTTCTCAAGAATCACACTGATTGTGTTGATACGATGTTGTTAGATTGCGTGCGCACAGTTAACTGCTGCAACGCCTAGCAGTTCCTCTCTTTATATACCCACCACAAATCAATTTTTAACTTATATGTTGTTTAGATAACATATCATAAAGCTTCGATTCTAACGAGAAGTGGTGTGAGAAGACAAACGATATATGTTTTTCTTGTTTAATGATAATAATAATAAACTGACAATAATAATAACTGAAAAAACTAATATGAATATATGAATATATAAATTTATAAACTTGAAAAATTTTAATTATATACTTCTGCGAAATGCTTATTATTCGATTTATTTAGCTTTGGATGATATCAGGAAACTATTTTAGTGATCTATACACAGAGTACTGTTTTATTATTTGATTCGAAAGAAATATTCTGTATTTTATATTGCTGAACATATGTATACAAATAAATGTATACAAACATATTTAATACGACGTTATATATATATATATATATATATATATATATATATATACGCATCAAAAACTTTCCGATATTATCTCTTAGTGTATGTGTATATTCTAATATACATATAATTCTTTTCTTGTCTAAATATAAAATATTTATTGTGACTTTATATAAAATTCCTATTGCAACATTATTTTTCTATCTAATATAATTTTTTTAATAGAAAAATAACATTAAATTCAATGTATATTATATATATAAATTTATTCATACAACGAGAAAAATACTAAGACAAGGGAACTTCTTGAAATGTTTTTTATTGAAAAATTTAACAACACTCTCCACTTACAAAAGAGGGGACACCAAAATCTAAATAATAATTACAACAAAATAATAAAGATGGTCTCATCTGTTCTCGGTTTACATGTATATTGACGACATGTTATAATACACAACGTTTCATTTTTCGTGATTATACTTGATAATAATATCATAGCTTCCATATTGTAAGTGCGTTTATTTGACAATTTTTTCGTAAATTAGCTAACTTTACAATGTACAATTTGTTATTAATTTGAGTGGAATATTGTTTCTATGTCATTGTGCTAATTATTATACTTTATTCTGTTTCTAGTACACTTGAAAAGGATCAAAATCCATCGGTCAAAACGTCGTGTTAATTTTTAATAAAGAAAATATTGCCAGTGTTGGTCGGTTATAATCTTGTTCTTAATTTTTATTTACTGGCGACTCTGATCTAACTCTCGGAATATAAATTTATTCGTTTTTGTAAGAATTAATTAAGAAAGAATTTTATCAGCTAATATAATTTTCTCTTTCGCGAATATACAGAAATGCAAATAATGTCTCATAGATCAAAAATTAATTCCAATTACTTTCTCAATTTTAATATAAAAACTTAAACTAAATAAAAATTTATATTATAACAAATCATATGAAATAATTAACACTATAAGCATTGCAATATAATCGATTTTTATATTATTACAAAATATTATTAAATAAAAAAAAATTGTTTTTCGCATAATTTCATACCAATATCTCAAGCACAATTTCTCTTAGCCAGTTGTAAGTGTAGAACAGAATCAGCCTTTAATTTACAAATATATCGACATTCGTACAGATTCAAATATAACCACTACCCGCATCATTTTTAACGCTTGTGAATATACTATGAGCATCGCTTCTCGCTTGAATTTTTAGCCAGAATCCTCCTTCTGCCAGCATAGTAAAACTTGATCTACTCAACCGCAACGGATGACAGGTCTTAGCGCACGGTTTCAATTCGCAACGAGCCAATAAGTGAAATATCATGACCTTGGTTTCCAATAATGCGAACCTGTTACCTATACACATTCTTGGGCCAAGTCCGAAAGGTATAAAAGCGTTTGCATTGAAATTTTTCTTATTTTCGTCCAGAAAACGTTCGGGATAAAATTCATTCGGTTTCTCAAAATATTTTGGATCCCGATGAAGACCATAAATAGGAAACCAAACGTATGTTCCTCTTTTTACGACGAAGGGCTTATCTCCAGGAAGCGCTGGGGGTAACTCGAAATCATTCACACATAATCTATCCACAACCACTGCCACTGACCATAATCTAAGAGCCTCGTTAATCACAGCGTCCAGATATTGCATTCCATTCACAGCCTCATAGGTTGATTCCCCGTTAGTTTTCTTCAGAACCTCGTCTATCTCATTGCGCAGTTTTACTTGAACATTTGGATTGACGGCGATTTCGTGAATAGCAAAACACATTAAAGTGGAAACGGTATCAAAACCGCCAAAAAAGAAAATAAACGCCTGCGAGGTCATATCTTCAATAGTCAGTTCCTTGCCAGGTCCTCTTTTTCCTCTGCTTTCCATCATCAACTGCAGCATATCCGGTCGTACAATATTCTGTTTGTCTCTGGTGTCTATCGTACTTCTTACGAGATTTTTGAAAAATTGACCTAAACGATTATCGACAAATTTAATACCCAACATTTTGGTGATAACAGGCATACTTCTAATAAGGTAGAATTTTATGGTACGCAGAGTGTTAAAACTTGTAAGATCTTTTCCATTAACGTAGAATTCATTGGTAGGAGTTTTCATAGAATCAACACTAATTCCGAAGGCGCAGGTTGCGATTACGTCATTTGTGTATCTGGTAAAGCAGTTTTTCATTTCCATAACACTTTCGTCTGAAGGCAGTTTGGAAAGAAAATCGGCAAAATTAGTGGCGCAATCGGACATTAACTTAAACATAGTTTTCATTTTACTAGACGTAAAAGCAGGGCTTAATAACGTTCTCACATCTCGCCATTTGTCACCACGAAGTGAAAATAAATTCTTGCCAATTAGAGGGTCATTAGCCTCGTCGATAAAAGCGCGATGATCGGTGAACGAGTCGAAGTGTTTCACGCCGATGGACTTGATGAGTTCTGGATCGCGAATCATCACTACTGGATTCATGCCATCGAAGAAACCAACATATTTGGCATCTTGATTCAGATTGTAAACGGCTTCAACGATTTCGGCCTTCGATAACTGGCGGAAAAATGCTGGTGCCATGTTGCCCACGACAGGCCACGGTGGTATGTGAAGAATTCCATGCTTCTTGAAGAAATTCAAGTCCTTAAAGAAGTAATAATAAACAGCGACGGTGCCAGCTAACAGAGACAGTAGTATCCAAGTATCCATGATGACTAGACGTTCTCAAGAATCACACTGATTGTGTTGATACGATGTTGTTAGATTGCGTGCGCACAGTTAACTGCTGCAACGCCTAGCAGTTCCTCTCTTTATATACCCACCACAAATCAATTTTTAACTTATATGTTGTTTAGATAACATATCATAAAGCTTCGATTCTAACGAGAAGTGGTGTGAGAAGACAAACGATATATGTTTTTCTTGTTTAATGATAATAATAATAAACTGACAATAATAATAACTGAAAAAACTAATATGAATATATGAATATATAATATTATAAACTTGAAAAATTTTAATTATATACTTCTGCGAAATGCTTATTATTCGATTTATTGAGCTTTGGATGATATCAGAAAACGATTTTAGTGATCTATACACAGAGTATTGTTTTATTATTTGATTTGAAAGAAATATTCTGCATTTTATATTGCTGAACATATGTATACAAATAAATGTATACAAACATATTTAATACGACGTTATATATATATATATATATATATATATATATATATATATATACGCATCAAAAACTTTCCGATATTATCTCTTAGTGTATGTGTATATTCTAATATACATATAATTCTTTTCTTGTCTAAATATAAAATATTTATTGTGACTTTATATAAAATTCCTATTGCAACATTATTTTTCTATCTAATATAATTTTTTTAATAGAAAAATTACATTAAATTCAATGTATATTATATATATAAATTTATTCATACAACGAGAAAAATACTAAGACAAGGGAACTTCTTGAAATGTTTTTTATTGAAAAATTTAACAACACTCTCCACTTACAAAAGAGGGGACACCAAAATCTAAATAATAATTACAACAAAATAATAAAGATGGTCTCATCTGTTCTCGGTTTACATGTATATTGACGACATGTTATAATACACAACGTTTCATTTTTAGTGATTATACTTGATAATAATATCATAGCATCCATATTGTAAGTGCGTTTATTTGACAATTTTTTCGTAAATTAGCTAACTTTACAATGTACAATTTGTTATTAATTTGAGTGGAATATTGTTTCTATGTCATTGTGCTAATTATTATACTTTATTCTGTTTCTAGTACACTTGAAAAGGATCAAAATCCATCGGTCAAAACGTCGTGTTAATTTTTAATAAAGAAAATATTGCCAGTGTTGGTCGATTATAATCTTGTTCTTAATTTTTATTTACTGGCGACTCTGATCTAACTCTCGGAATATAAATTTATTCGTTTTTGTAAGAATTAATTAAGAAAGAATTTTATCAGCTAATATAATTTTCTCTTTCGCGAATATACAGAAATGCAAATAATGTCTCATAGATCAAAAATTAATTCCAATTACTTTCTCAATTTTAATATAAAAATATAAACTAAATAAAAATTTATATTTTAACAAACCATATGAAATAATTAACACTATAAGCATTGCAATATAATTGATTTTTATATTATTACAAAATATTATTAAATAAAAAAAATTGTTTTTCGCATAATTTCATACCAATATCTCAAGCACAATTTCTCTTAGCCAGTTGTAAGTGTAGAACAGAATCAGCCTTTAATTTACAAATATATCGACATTCGTACAGATTCAAATATAGCCACTACCCGCATCATTTTTAACGCTTGTGAATATACTATGAGCATCGCTTCTCGCTTGAATTTTTAGCCAGAATCCCCCTTCTGCTAGTGGTGTTAAGTTTGCCTTACTCAGTCGCATCGGATTGATAGTCTTTGCGCATGGTTTCAATTCGCATCGAGCTAATAAATGAAATATCATGACTTTGATCTCCAATAATGCAAACCTGTTACCTATGCACATCCTTGGGCCGATTCCGAACGGTAAATACGCACTTGTATTAAAATAAGTCTTATTTTCGTCCAGAAAG